TGCATGTATCATATATTTTTCTGCATATGATTAGTAAAAGTTCTTTGTTTCTCATTTTTATTTATTTATTTATTACACGAGATTATCCTCACAATTTACAAGTTGTCAATTTTGTTTTGTTTTGCTTAAAAGAGTATAATTTGAAAAAGCAACCAAGTATGGAATTTATCGGGAATATGTGTCGATAGTTCACGCGGTGTGTTTAATTTATTCAAACAACTTCTCTTCCATTTTTCCGCCGTGGACTCGATGCATCTTCCTCGGTGTGAATAATGCATCAAAAATCCAGTATTTAAATTTATTTCTCGCCTTCTAGCGAAGAAAATATCGCCAAGAACACGTAACGATTTGAACGAAGATGTATGAATCAGAATCTCTTTTTTTTACTGATTTTCTTTTTCTCTCTTTCTTTCTTTCTCTCTCTTTTAAAACGTTCAGAGCAATCACTTTGGAGCGATGCCATGACTCAAACGCCATCATGTTCGGTCGATGTTTTCTGTATCTAGCTCGTACGTTACACACACGCGTGCGCAAGCGCACGCACACATACACGTCGAACAGTTGATAGAAAAATAATTAAATAAATAATTAAATAGACGATGATTAATCAAAAAGTATATATTTTAGAATTAGTGATTATATTCAATCTAATCTCGTGATATTACTTTTTTTCCCGTTCGTGATGATAAAAGCTTTTTGAACTCTCTCTTTAATATCGTATATATCATTTTTACGATAATGACTGAATTTGTTTATAGTATACCTTTTGAATTATTTATGATACATAAAATTATGAAGAATGATTATTTATTCATAAAAAATATTTAACGCGTAAAATAATTTTAGTGCCACATTTTATGTTGTAACGCGGTTTATGAAGGTACCGTTGCTTACTTCTTTTTTCCCTCGTAATGACAAATTTTACGCTACTTAGCTTTTCCGTTGCGGTAATGTAGACGCACGACAAGTATCGCCGAAAAAAGTCCCATTAATACGTCGTGAGACGCAAACGATATTTAAATAATCTGAAATAAAGCAAGCGCAATGCAGTAACGGGATTTGTGCAGCTGTATATGCATGTACGTATATATATGACGATCGCTTCACCATATTTAAATCATCCGGGAAATACTAAGGGAGGAAGTTTATAGTATCGTCTAGTTTTTCCTCAAACAAACGTGCCGTTCCACAAGCGTGTTGAACGCGCGATAAAATCCCGGTGATTTAAATTCCCAAAGTTCACCGTTGTAACAATAAATTGTCCGAATATAAACTCGAAAATCAATCAGACTTAATTGCCACGTAAATCTTGCTTCCGTAGGTAAGTATCGATTGTATTCGCGAGCGCGATTAAGTACAGAGTCGCTCTGGTGCGTGTGCGCGACGCGTTTGCCGAATTCATACAAGAGAATTCAAAAAGATCTCATTGTTAATTCTTCAAGACCAGATCTTAAAAATGATCTACGAGTTGTTTAGACCAGGTCTGTGAGACTCGTGCGACTTTAAAATCGAATATCTCCGCGAAAAATCAATATTTTTTAAATTTCTTTTTTCTAAAACAAAAGTTTGAACACTTCTGCGTCGATAAAAAAACAAATTTAAAATTTCTCTAGTAATTTCGAAAATATAAGCGTTTAATCAAAACCTTCACAAGTTTTTTTCGAAAAAAACTTTGCTTAAAAATTTACCATTTTTTTGTAATTAAGATTTTTACGACATTTCAACGCAGTTTTGTAGGAAATTGTTTGTACTTTTAGAGAAAAAAGTGTCTTCTAAAAATTGTAAAATGACAAACATTTTTACAATGGGTCTTTTGGGACGTTTTTCAAAGAATGACATTTTTCTAGCGCTCAACTTTGATACAATATTTTAGCAATAAATGAATAGTTTAACACATTCTTTTTTAAACAATATTTAAACGATTTTGCGTCGATAAAAAACAGATTGAAAAACCTTTAAGTTTCGAAGATGTAAGCATTAAAAAAAAAGACAATGTTTTGCAAATATTCCGCGGGTGGCAGCTCCCGTAGCTGCAAATCGCATACTCTGCACGCTAATAAATCGATATATATGTACATATATTTTCATAAAATTATAAAAAAAACATCAATTAGTTGATATGTTAGAAGTGCTCAAAGCGAAAAAAAAAATTTATTTACTATGTGAAATGCCAACGTTTTGTTCAGATTTGGATCTCTCAGACCCTTTTCGCACTTTACAATTAAATATTTAACAAGTTATTGAACAAACGACTCTGTCAATGATCTCTATCATTATTTGAGACCTTATCATTTTTTTCAGAGCCTTCAGATGTCGCGTAAAAATAATATTTAGTAGAGACATCAGTTTAAACCTTTTGATCTCTGGGAGACCCACGTCTGGACTTGAAAAATTAAGTATCTTAATTTAGTTGGGAAATTTAGTTGGTAGGACGTTTTATTGACATTAATTATTGAACAAGCCTTAACACACACAAAGAAATTTATCAGGTCAATTAAGATCTTTGCTCTCACATTTGTCTTTACAATTTTATAATAAAGATATAGGTTCCAAAAAGAGCGAATTTACTTCGCATTCATAAAAACCTCCTCGTTTTTGCAGTCAGATCGTCAAAAATTGCAGAGATGCGACAATAACTTTCCGACTTGAAAATTAAGCAAAGCAATGTATTTAGCGTGGTTTGCAACTAAATAGCCGGATATATTCCGCGACATTTAAGGTATTAACGATAAGATCGCGGTGCAGGATAAAGTGCGCTCGTCTCTGTCTCTAAAGAGAATGAAACTCTTGTCAACTTCGAGTATTGCTCACTGTTTCAGAAATCAACGTTCAGTGAAATGGCTCCGAAAACATTATACGGATGACTATTTATTGTCATAACCCGCAACGTGAAATAATAGGAGCAATTTGGATCTTTTATGCTCGTATTGTACTTGGTACTCGGAAGCTATACTCCTATTGTTTTTGGTGATTATAGCGTAGGAAATTGTCATTGTCACAATACGGCGCAAACCTTGAATGTTTGTCTAAAGCTTCTGTCGCATTAGGAACAGCTGCATGTGCAGTAAATACGGGAAATTTATACTTATACATAAAATATTTAAAATTGTTGCGTTTATTTCTTAAATATTTAAACAATAATTTTTTACTTGAAGAGTACGTAGTCAAATTATTTATTTAAACTTAATATACGGCAATTATATTGTTAAATATTTATAATTTTATTATATATAAAATTTATATATGTTACACATATTCACCGCTTGTGTGTTTATATTATCTTGTGAAATCTTTCTGTATGTGTGTGTGTGTGTGTGTAAACACATAGAGATTTTAATGATTTGTGGGAATACATTGATACACTAGTTTTTCGTCATCAAAACGAGTTGCGCTGTTTAATTGCGAGGATGTCTACAAAAAGGGAAACGTAACCGAATTGCAAAACGCGCGACGAAACAAATTCCATCTCACCGCCGAATTTTGTTGCGCGCGCCAGTTATGTAAAAAGTCCGACGAATATGAAAGAGAAGTAAAATAAAAACTATAATTTAGCGACGTAAAGTTTTGTTGTACGAGCAAAACGAGAAAACGTTGTAGCAATAGTTGAATAAGTTTCTATAGCAGTAATTAGAGCAATTACACAAAGTGCGGTTACTATCTTTTCGCATCTCCGCAGCTATTAAAGCGCGAAAAAATTTCAAATCCCCGATGCAATTTGCGTAACACATCGCACACAATAAGCTATTGTTTTTAGAAATTATTATTTTTATGCTGGCGCGAAGATATGCCGGCGATGAAATCTTGTTTAAATGATGTGTATTAAATAATCCGAAGTGAATGCGCTACTTTCCATCAAAGTCTCTAATTACATTCAGTGAAACAAGAACGCTGAGAACTTAGCAAAACTTAGAATAACACAGATAACTCGTATAAACTAAGAAGAATTCGCGTAACTTATATAGTTTAGATTAAGTTACGAAAATACTGAAGAGGTTGTAGAAAAAAAATTAGAGAATACAATAATTGATATTATCTGATTATGTTACAGAATTGTTTTTACTTGTAATAGCTAAAAAAAAAATATATACTGTAGAGATAGATGTCGCAGCATGTTTAAAATCTATGTACGTGCAAGAATATATGTGAAAATGTTTTGATGGTCCATTGACGTGACGCTGACGCATAGCGTTGGTGGAATTTTAAACGTGTAATCTACATGCATCAGGAAACCTAAAATAAATATGTTACACGAGTAACATTATGTAATATTCATTTTTTATGTAAATTTCCTTTCGTATATTTATATATCTTTTTTATACACTGTTCAAAGAATGTTTAAGTTCAGATATTGCATTTTAGGGTCGCACGTGGTAGGAAGTCAGAAATGTAATTTGCGAATAAAATCCCACGGGGAAAGCGGAAATGTTCTATTGTCGAAGTTCCTTGATTCCGTTCTACGTTTTCGACACGCGTGTGCAAGTAACTTTTCGATTAAACTGCACTACTTTTTGATTAAACTGCACTACCACTGTAATAGTCTTATGTAACAGAAATATTGATCTGCAACTTGATATTTTTTTTTCAAACCTTCTACAAGAAACATTAATGCGGCAAATGAGAGCCAAGCGTTGGTTGTGTAGATGTATTTATATGATACGCCACAAATTTTTTTAATTTCAATTTAATTGCCTTAATTTTGTTGCACTTTATTGCATATATGAAGTGTTCCGTTTTAATGGAAACGATAGAATTCTTGAAAACGAAGCAAGTGACAAAAAATATGTCAAACAAAAGTAGATTTTGGGGAGAACTTGGCAAATAAGAACCAAACACAAGTTGTACATATCGGAATATTCGGAGCACGCACTCCGTTTAGCTCTTATTTGTTGCAAACTTTTATTTCTCGTAGAAAGTTCATAATATTCCTGAAGCGCGACTGATTTACATATTTATATGTGTACTTGTATATTTGAGTTTGGTGTTTTTCTTGTGTTTTTCAGGACATATCGGACATTAAATGCGAAGGCAACAAAAGTATGATTTACACCCCTATTGCCACTAAGCCTGTAAGCGGCGTGATCGGCGCTTCCTCGAGCGTAGTGTCGATTATGATAGCAAACATCTTGCGGCTTTTCAAGGTACGTTTAGTCGGTTCATATATATTATAGTCATTTTATATGAGCAAATTACTCCACACAAACATGTTTTTTTTTAACAAAACTTTCAAGTTTAATTAATTTTTGTTATTTGTAATTAATAGAAAATTATTAAATTTTATGTATATGCAGAAATATGTTATTATTTTATTAAACTTATAACGCAAACTGGTAGGTAGTATAAAATTCAAAAATTAAAATTTAAAAAGAATTAGAATGTTATGTTGACGTCATTTTTTTATATGGAGATGTCTAAGATCATATTTAAAAGAGAGATAAAAAAAAAATATATATATATATACAAATGTGACGACAACAAGCAACTTAAAGCTTTTTCGAGAATGTAATGACACTGTCGAAATTTCGTGTGACCGCTAACAAGGTCGGCAGAGCAATCAGTTCCTTTGGAAGGATCACTCATCCATTTGTAAGGATCAAACCAAGAAAGGTTACTCTTGCGACGCCGTTTCGTATCGCGGAGACTCAGATAAAACCTTTCCGCGCTCTAAAAAGACGTCACGCAGCATGAATTCGTTGAAAGGAATCCGGTGATCCGCGCAAAATTGGCTTTCTAGAAGAAGCTCTTTGTCGTCATCGAAATGTGAGAGAAGGTGAGATAAGATGAAAACTCTCACTGTAGGTAAAAATAGTCATATTTTCAATCCAGAAGAAAATAGAGGCTTGTGCAAAGAAACTTTTAAATGTTTACCGCACGATCGAACTAGCAAATTTACCAGATGTGCAAAAGCTTCTATTGAACTTTCCGTGAAATTCGATTTTAGTGTTTTACTTCGTTAGATGGCGTAAAACTAATCCGAGAAATAAGGTGAAGCGCAAAGTGAACCAAGAAATACTCCAGTTAAACTTAAAACAAAAAAGCAACTTGTTTCGCATTTGTATTGTTTTCTGCAGGATATAAGATCTACAGAAAGAGAAAGAAAATATAGATCAGAATTGATTTTTACATGAGAAAAACAAGTGTATATTTTATTTTGTACTAACACAGGCGCGCGCTACGCGCACGCTATTGTTATTTTTATTTAACGTTGTCAGTGAACACAACCTGTCACCGCGATGACAGATAGTATATACGTCTTATAAACCATATAATACACATATGAGAAATGTTAGAAATAACGCATGAAAATCAAACTCAAAAAATAGTGAGAGAGAGAAGTGGAAAAACAACACGTGACAAGGAAAAGGGTAAAAAAGAGAATATTATATATATTATATGTAATATATATTCTATATCTATATATAATACACACACATACGCATAAATGTATATATATATATATATATACCGTAATCACGTGACCGAAGTCAGTAACACCGCCGCGGTCGCGCGGCCGAAGTCAGTGACTCCACCGCAGTCGCGCGACCGAGGTCATTGACCCCGCCGCGGTCGCGCGACCGCGATCAGTGACTCCCCACCCACCAAGGCCGCGCGCCCGCGGTCAGTGACCCCGCCAAGGCCGCGCGGCCAAGGTCAGTGACATTACTGTAGTATGTATATAATATATATAATACAATATAAAGTATAATATTATAAATATATAATAAATTATATGTATAATATGTATTATATTTAATGTTATATATAATATAAATTACAATCACGTTATTTTCACGTGTTGTTTTTCTACTCTTTCCTGTCACGTGACTTTAGTTATGTTTTTAATTTTCTCTACATATACGACGAACTGTCTCAAAAAATCGCTTTTCATTATTTACTCTCTCGATCTTACCGATTCGATTCGACTCGATCAACCAACCAACCAATCGGCAACACGGAAAAGAGGCAACAATTTTTTTGTTTTTTAATCAAAAGTTCTTTAATTGTTTAAACATTTCTGCATTGATAAAAAAACAAATTGAAAAAATCTCTAGTTTCAAAGATGCGTTTTAAAAAAAACTAATTTTTTTTCTAGAAATGCCGCAATTTCTGAGTGTCTAGGAGACTCACGTCTAACTACTGAAGGGATAGAATTAGTATGTAGTTATAATTGAAGCAAAGAAAGTTAAGACAAGTTGAGATATCGGCGTGTCGCAGACGACAAGAGTTTAGGGTTTCTAAAAGTGCTTGTGTTACGCGGCTTAAACTCTCGAGTTCTATCAGTGAGGATAAAAGATATCCACCAGGCAAGATGATCCAAAATGTACTGTTGCACGAATCGAGCTGAGTGCCATCCTGGATTTTATTGCACGTACTCTCTTTTATCGCTTTCCCTCATTATTTTATAATGATCCACTTGAATTTGAAAACTACTTCCCTTTCTGTTTATCGGCGCAAACCAAGTGCCCTTTTCAGTTCACTTTCCGTCGACGTGTTTTTACTGTGAACAAAGACATCTGCGGAGTATATTTTCGCGGATTTTATTCCGCTTGCAAGTTTTGTTCATTGTCGGGGAAAGTCGCGCAAATGCAGGAAATATCTAATGAGTTATCGTATTTCAATATTTTTCTTGTCATTTTCTCATACACGTACACAATTTTATTGGCAGAATTCAGATTTACCTTATTAAAAAAAAAAAAAAAAAAAAACAATATTGCCACATTTCGATATCGTGATAGTTGGATTTTATAACAGCTCTCTCTTATTTTGTAACTTATAACGATAAAGTTGTTATTGTGTGTTAACATATCAATAATTTTTTGTTTGAGATGTTACGAATATTGACTTTACATGTCTAATGAGAGATTGTAAAGATCAAGTACGCGCTTACAATTTGACTGTCATTTTTTTTACAATCTTTTATCATTTTCAATGTATATACAAAGTGTCTAGTATAATAGCCACCGCTCGTGAAAAGTGGGAGATAGAAAAAGTTATACCGGCCCGAAAAGTCCTATATCACTTTGCAAAATTTTCAATAATTAATATTATTAATTTGTTATTAATTAATAAAAGAGGTTATTAATTAATAAAAGAGAGAGAGAAAGAGAAAATATATAAGATCTGCGAAAATGAGCGTGTATTTACGTGCAAAAGACAGCCTTTCGCGAGCTTATGGTTGCTACGCGCGCGGCAATTCAATGAGAGGAGTTAATATAATCAGCATATACCTAATGTACATATTATGCTTTCGCGTTTAATCGTCTTTTGGGTATCGATTTTTATGTAATATGTATATTATATGTTGATTATATTAACTCCTTCCATATTGAGTTGCTACGCCGCGCGCGTAGCAACTATAAGTTCGCAAAACGCTAGGCTGTCTTGTGCACGTGAATGCATACTCATTCTCAGATCTTTTTTATTAATTAATAACTTGTTAATTATTGCAAATTTTGCAAACTGGTACAAGGCTTTTCGGTTTAATATAACCCTTCCTGTCTGCCCACGAACGGTGATACGACTATTTTCGGACATCCTGTATATCACAGTTTTCTGACAATGAGAGTTAAACATAATATAACTTATATAATATTTAACCTTTAAACTGCAAACAAGGATCCTTTGTGTCCGCGCAAAATCTACTTGCGTTTATAACTTACAAACGAGGAAAGAGAGAGGAATTTGACTTCGCCCTAAAAAGTTGTATAGGAAGGGAATGTAACAGTCAGAAATTTCAGATCTTCAATACAACTTTGACAGTGACAAGACGAAATTTCGAGCGGACACGAACAAACCTAGTTTGCGGATTACATATACTTTTCGTACAAATACATAAAAACTTTTTTTGGTTTTTATTTAATTTTCACATAATTTTGCTCAATTGAAAGTGTAGTCGTGATATTTTTCATTAAAAAATTGTTTTTCATAATAATTCCAAAATAGAGCAGCGCTCTTCCGACGAACTAACTCGGGCGCTTCGACTGGAAGAACAGGTTGATTATTGTGTCATAATGTTACCATTATTTTGAATAAAAATGTGTAAGATTAGAAGAACTTAATTTTTACTTCAAAAACGTCAGCATTCGCAAATGTACAAAACGCGTTTTTCATGTTGAAAAATTAAGCGTTTAAATTTAATAAAATGCAGTAGCATAATTTGTTTATGAAAACAGTAAAAGTAAACAGAAAAAAATAGAGAAATATATATCTAATATATGTAAAATAGGAAATAAAAATACTATTAAAAATCTTTTCATCATCTTCATAATTTTCGTATCAATAATTTGAGTTTTCATAAAGTCTCGTTTCAACATTATTTATGCTTTAGAAATTTAAATTTTGTATTAATATCAAAAACGGCAATCTTCAAAAGCAAAAAATATGCATGGATATTAATATCGAAAATAATATCACGCGCGACTTTTGCGCAGCTTTTATGTTGATCTTGAAGCATGTATGCGCCAGCGTACGTGCAAACGAGTAATAACGCCATAACATTCGTTAGAGAACAATGCCACATCAGCAAGAAACTATCTCTCGGCGGAGCATACGCTTTTTGTGCAAAAATGCAGTTACAAAAAAACTAGAAAGAAAATGAAGAGAGAGAGAAAGTTGGAGACAATTACCTTTAGCAAGCAATAGATTATTAAATTCAGTTGTAAAGTTATGAGCTTTCTGTATTTATAACGAGAAACAAGCAGTCGCTTACAAAACGAAGCAAGATATCAGCTTTTCTGTTATGTAATACATGTGCAAAATTTCTTTATATTTTTGTATAATATACATTTAAAAATCACATAAATACATCTTATTTAAATGTAGCTTTTTGGAGATGATGATGATGACGATAATAATAATAATAATATATTTTAAAGCATTGTTTATTTTTTTAAAGGATTACTTATTTAAACAATTCTGATAACTCTGATTTTTCACACGATTAACGCGTATTACACAAAATTTTTTTTCTTTGTTATGACAATTATGACAACTTATATTTATTTTTCAAATACTAAGAAAACACATTGCAATGTTTTCTAGTTTCTCTAATTTCATAGCTATATTACTAATTGCAGATACCGCAAGTGAGTTACGCTTCCACTAGTACAGAGCTGTCTGATAAAAGCCGGTTTGAGTATTTTAGCCGAGTGGTACCTCCAGACAACTTTCAAGCACAAGCGATGGTCGAAGTTATCAGCATGATGGGCTGGAAATACGTTTCCACGGTTGCAGTGGAAGGTGACTACGGCGAGAAAGTAAGTGATAAATTTAATCAAAAATTTCATTAGTAACATTATCTTTTGGCTCACGATAACGCGTGTTGTAGAAAATTATTCTCTGAAATAGTTATCATTTAAAAAATCATAGTTGTCATTTTTTATTATTACAGTAGTTATCACACATTTTATTATTTATATACTGATCGATTAAGGTAAAATTCGTGTAGAGAAAAAACATACAAATATTTGAAAAATATAACATGAGTCGCGCAAGATATATCTTCTCTTTCAAAAATCTACGATGTACACTAGAAATATATTATTGCTTTGCACAATTAAAACGCAATAAAATTAAAAGTAAAATAATAATGCCCGGAGAAAAAAACAATATATATAATTAGAACTTAATTCATAAAAATTATTTGAAATAATGTTTTTTGTGTATGTATCTATCATTCAAGTAAAGAATGAAAAACATAAAACTACAGTATAAAAACAGTTATCCGCATATTTACAAAGACACGGTGCAACATAGTCGCTTGCATTCTGCCGTTACATTGCGCTGCAATTGCAAATCGTGAAATCGTTATGTGCACTCGCGTTAACATCAAATTGGACAATTAGCATACGACGGCGAACTCAAAAGTATTAAAAAAAAAAAAAATTATCAGAGTCTAATCTTAAAATCGTATTATCATCTTCTCTTCTATTTGTTTCTGATACAAATATACGTATTTAATGCTCTCGAAATTAATACATGTGTGCAGATTATGAAGTTTTGCAGTTTAACATGTACAAAGCTTAAGGTAAGATCTCGTAAGCCGCAAAGCGGGTCGAGATGCCGTATCGAGTTACGTACGAAGCAACTCAGCGGTCGCGGCTGGATTTACGAACGTTGATCGCTGGTTGTGTTCAGCCAGAAATGTGTTCCTGACCGCGTCTTGCTTTAAATCCCTTCATGCTAAATTGCAATAGTGAAATTCCTGTTTAGGGGAGACTCTTCCAATTACCGTGCCCTTCACATATATTATAAAGATTATCCTTCTGAGTAACAAAAATAGATCTTAGCCGTCTCTTATTATTGTTTATTAAAAAGTTGTTAACAAAAAAGTTTCATCAATAGACCATCGTTTTCCGACACTGTGTGAGTTTTAGAAGTAAATGTGTCATGTATATGTTCAGAAGTAAGCATATGTGTTAAAAAATACAAGTATTTAGTATACAACAAAGCTTACTATTTTGTTTTGATATTTTCGATCATATATCTTTTTGTTCAAACAGTATGTTATATAATTTTATACGAGACGATTGGATTATTTAAATATTTTGTGAAGTTTCAACATGCGTTTCCACGAATTTCTGAATATGATACACAATTTCTTCTTTGTGGAATTTTTCGTATTGTACATTATCGTACACATGAGTGGGAGAGAGGCTCCGTTCTTCTCTCTGCACCCTCTTCCTGAAAAAAATTGTTGTTTACTTGGGGGAAATGCTTTATGCATATCCTGACCCTCGAGGGAGAATCAAGATTATATGAGACTCTCCGAATTACCGAAATTTACCCACTAAAACCCTTACGATATGTCTAACCAGCGCATTATACGAAGGAATGAGTCACGGAACCCATTTCCGGACTCTCGGATTAACCTTAATGGGCACAGTAATTGGTACTTTTACCCTATAACTTTTTTAAAAAATGGGTTATTTTTCCCGAAGTGTGAAGAAAAGATAACATAGTATTTATAAATAAATAATAAAACTGAAAATACACAAATTATTGGTTACATTGCAATTTATATACTTTTATTATGTATGTAATATTGATTACGGCAGCTTAACTGTAATTTATTCGACGTTACGGCAGCTTTTAGTGGACATACGTAAAATTTTGCAAGCAATCAAAAGTAAAAATATATAATTTTCACAATATTATTAAACTACTGTAAATACTGATTAACTTTAAGAATGGCTACAAAAATGCACTATTAAACAATTATTGATGAAATTACAGAGTCTATGGCTATCTTTTCCGTATGGCCATAATATCCCCATTTATCCTGTCTATTGATTCCTGAATTTTTTATTGTGCGCATTTTCTTCTTTCAATTCTTTTTATTCAATTTGTTAATTCTTTTTCTAAATATTAGTTTTTATAAAGAAAATACATTGATGTTAAATTTTAAATTGTTAAAAAGAAAAAACTTTTTCGAGAATTGAAATTAATGTAACATAAAGAAGGAAAATTAAAATGTGTATAAGTGAATAGCGGAAATGGAAAATTTTTGTCGTAAAAAAAGTAGAGTTTACGTTAATAGTAACCTGTAATTCCATAAAAGAGAGTGTCGCGCGACGTTTTTTTCTTTTTTTTTTTTACTTCTTCAGATATTACGCTATTTATGTTATCTTAGCCAATTAGCTAACTTTCACAAAATGTAGATTATAAAGAAGAGCTTTGCTTTTATTAAAAATTAATTCCAGATATTACCAAGAAAATAAGAATTTAACCTGATTTGCAATTAAGATTTGTTAAATAAACTCTGTCGCGATTTGATGAGTATTGTACGTCGTCGGAAGAGACAAAACAAATTTGCGTGCAAATCATATCGACGGAAAATTTTTCTTGTCAATTAATGACAAATTAAGCGATTATATTAAAGCTTAATCTAAAGTCGGTATAAAAAAATAACACTAACGCGATTGAAACCCGAAAAATATCATTGAATGTATTAAACCTTTTGATTTCAAAAATAAAATTTAAGTAATAAATCGAACAAAGATAGTAAAGATATTCGTTGCGTTATTATCGTCAAAAGAAACGCAATAGTGATTGTATTATTGAATATTTGAACTCGCTTGTGAAAATTCAATGTTGAAAATAGATTTGTACGATATAATCGTTATATTACGTGTTCGACTCGATCGCGAAAACGTAGGAGTATATTTTCGTTCAGAATACTGTGTGATGAATAACGGCGATTTTTACTGCGCGGTTCTCCATAAAACGCGTCGATAACATCTGCAACTTGGTGATGCATCGCGCATCTTCCTCTCGAACGTCTTTTCTTTTCGCGTAATTTCCTCACCTACCAACAGAAAAATGCGTACCTATATACATATATTACGAAAGGAAGGTGAGATAAATATATCGCGAGAATACGGACGAGTTACGTCAATATACGTATATCTATAGTTGCGTGTGTGCGATATGAAATAAAAATGCGAGACAGGTAATTTATACAGCAGCGTCTCATAGTTTGCTCCGTATATAATGACACACTCGTAGATTTGATATTGACAATTTTCATATCTTGAAGCAAGATATACGATAATAAGTTTAATTTACTTTCCTTCAACAGTTTTTTTTTTTTTTTCAAAATTAATAATTATAATTTAATATTAGACATTTGTTTTTTTTTCTTCATAGAATTGTTCGGCACACATCTGAATTCTCGAATTGAACTCTCGGATTTCGCTCTAGATTCGGCTATTTGATTGTCGGGAAATGTGTGGTTCGGGGTTCGAGTCATTTAGCATGAAAAATGTGAAGACATTCTGATAAGTATACACCGCAGAACAAACTCTCGTTGTGAAAGTGTAAGAGCCTTGACTCCAACTTTCCGGAAGAGTAGAGACTAACGGCTGTCGTACATTTTCTTCGGGCACTTTGAACAACAAGCTGCTTAATGACTACGATTTCTCATGCAAATTCTGGGGATGTACCGTCAACGATAAATGAGTATGTAAATATGAGTCAGAAATGCTCCAAAAGTTCCGTACTCTTTTGTATTCCAATTGTTTATTTCAAAATACAAAAATTAAATATCTTACGAACACGTTGTTTGACGTGTTCGACGTGTGTTTATTGACGAAATTCCACGTCTGATAAAAATGTGCGGTTTTTTAATACTCGAAATGAAATGTTATTTTTCAGGGCATTGCAACTTTTACAGCGCTCGCAACCGCATATCAGATATGTGTTGCGACATATCAAAAGATTATGAGAAATTCAAGAACAGATTTCGACGCAATTATCCAGCATTTACTGTCAAAGAATGCTAGAGCCGTAGTGCTCTTCGTCGATGAGGATAATGTCAGGTAAGATCACAAAACAATATACATCATAGACGGTCAATTCAACGATTGTGATTGTCTCTGACAACTCGAGAATGTTTGACTGTGATTGTGGTCACTTCGTTTTCTTTTATTATCACAAACAAAATGAAAATAAAAGTATGAGCAAGTTACTTATTATATTTAAATTTTTCTTAAGTTTTGTTACAACTGACAACTTTCTGGAGGATAATTTAATCGAACGATGTAGATATGAACGAACAATTTTTCCAGCAAATGTGTAAATCTTTTAACGAATAAACTGTCAACTCTGAATTTCGTTGTTTATGCTGCGACATATATTACAAACATAAAATTTCATGTTGTATATAATCACTACATGTATACTGCTATTGCAAGAAATTTGGGATTTGTCCAGGAGCTTATATAACATTTTTTATCTCTTCTGTCGTTTAATATAGTTTTACTTTACGTCTGTAAAGGTAACTTACGGTAATCGTCCTGGTCATAAACCTAATTCACTGCTTTTGGCAGAACACCAATAGGTTTCGAATCATCGTCAATAAAAAGTTTAGGGATTTTCTTGAACGAAGCGCGGTTGAATAACTTTACCGATCGAACTTTTATTTTATATGTATACAATGTACATATATATATTATATATATTATGTATATACGGGAAAAAAATAATGTTAAATCAACAGCATCAGTTTAATTGAAATATATCCTGTTGATGCAACATCAATATTATTGCATTACACATAGCAGATAGTTGCTTTAAGAATTTAGATATTAAATTAATCGCATATACAATGAACTATTTATTTTATTTTTGTGGCAGCCCGTGATGTTGACTTTTATAACTTATGAGTAAGCTTCAAACAAAATATAATATTAAATTAAAATTGACCCAAAAAGCTAGAAGAGTCACGGATGGACGTGAGAAACTTGTAGAGTGAAAACTTCTCGTATAAATTTGAAACGTTTCGATCAATATATTCAGATCATCTTCAGCCAAAACCTGAAAAATATACAATCTGTTCATGTATTTGCTAGTAAGTGAAACACGCTGTACATACCGTCAACGAAAATGAAAGTATAAATTGTTTACGAACCTCAAGTAAAAATCAGAAGTATTCGCGACTTTGTGTGTCAACCATTCCGGAAAGCCAAACGGCAAAACTGGAAATTGATAAAAAGGATTCTTGGAAAAAATTTTAAAAAAACCTCAAGCTAATTTATGAATTATATATAGATCAGATATTGTCAAAAAATGATGAGATTTGAGATAATTTGACAAAACAAATTTGGTGCGTGCAAATCATATCGACGGAAAATCTTTCTTGTCAATTAATGACAAATTTAAGCGATTATATTAAAGCTTAGTCGATATAAAAATGACACTGACGCGGTTCAAACCCGAAAAACATTTTCGAATGTTAATAGATACTTTAACTCGCCTATTTCTGTGACCTTTAGAATGTGGGTTTAAATGACGTCAACGCTTTTCTAACAGAATTGAAAAAAACCATGAATTAGCAAGTTAACGAGTAATTCCATAGAGAGATGATAACAACTTTGTTCTCGTTTTGGTTTCTAATCAAACACAGATGACCTTTTTATGCATTCATTGCTGAACTTTTCCGTTCGTTCTATTCCGACTGTCTGAAAAGTGCTGATTACATACGCACGCATCGCACATTGCCTGTGACCACCTCGCAGTCATGTAATATCTACATAGTACTTCGCACGAAAAAGTAGACTATGGTAAAGTAGATTATTTAACAATGTTTTCATTAATATTGTAAGAATTTTTCAAATTTCTTTTTTATCTTTAATTCTATCTAATTGATATTCTATTACCATTGCGTAATTTAGTTTTCTTTTGCAATTTAAATTGAGACAAGATGAAAATGAAACGCGAATGAGCAATATTACCGATAAATGTAAATTACGAATGTACTTTAATTGGGTTAAATTTAATTCAATATCACCTCGGTTAAATAAGAACCGAAAGATTGATATGTAGTTTTTAATCGTTTTTGTAATTATTTACCAGTGTTATGGTTATTTATTTAATAAATACACGGTTCTCATATATATATTATATTTTTTATAATATAGTATATTTTTCAGAAAATCATCGTAGAAGTAAATTCTCATTTTTCACGTTTGTATAACTTTCATATACTCACTCTTTTATACACCTAAAGACACCATAGCTCACGCAGTGAGTTTTCTTCTTTTTCAAACTCGCAGCTTCGTTATTAATTCTCGCGAAACTTTGCGTTGCGTTTTTCACGCGACGATTGTCTCGCGAAATTTTCTGATGGTTTTTAATATCTGGTAGAGAAACCTCGAAGAGTCTGGCGCCGTCCGCGTGCGCGTTACGCTTTTCTCATTGTAAAAAGGAATAAATCTAGCGCGGTTTCTGAGATGTTCATCGCGCGCTATGGTTTGATACAAAGAAGCGTTCGTCAAATTAAATGTCGCGCACCTACGACAGGAACAGCTACAAAACGCATTTCTATTACGAGCGTTGTTAACAGCGAAACAATTATACGAATTCCGCTGATTCGGCAGCAATCTGCGAAACATTTTACGATCAAATCCTTAGAGTTTGAACACAGAAAGTTTAGCAAAGAGAGTTAATTTACGTCGAGAGAAAATCAAACGAAATAAAAATCAGAAAGAAGAGTAAAACTTTTTATACACTTGTTACAGACTAAATGCTACGTCTTAAACTGAGCATGCGTGTACATAAATTGTTGATTTCTGATTACATAGAAAAAGATCAAATTTTTTTCTTTAACCCTTTTGCTACAACGAGCGATTGTATTCGCTCGCCACAAAATTCCGTATGTTTACAATGAATTTGTAGTTACGATCTTACTTCCAGTTAGGAAAATTATAGTTCTGTCTATACTTTGTTTACATCTAACAGGCGTTGTAAAAGCGGCGTTGTTTAGGTGTAAGACAGCCTCGAGGATACTTGAAGATTGTTAGCGCGCAACGTGTACACTTTAGGCGCGGCGTCTTGTTCAGTGGGAGCGTCCCAGCGGCGAGGATCGTAGCGAAAGGGTTAAGGATTCTTCGAAAACGTATTATCAAGAAAAAATTTCTTCAACTTGTAAAACGTTATTATAAGTCACTTGTTTCAAAGTTTTTTCAGTATTTGTTGTTAGATTTGTCAACTGTGATAATGAGAGGAAGATCGAAATTCATTTTTTCTCAAATTGTGATTGTTGATTTTTGCTCGCGCAACACAACTTTTTGAAAAACTTTTAGTTTGTATCCGTGACATGTATTCGTGATAATCTCAAAAATGCTAATTATTCTGTTTGAAACTTTTATTCTCGATAAATTTTAGATACCTTCATGAGAAAATTGCGTTTTCCAGTGGCCGTCAGCGGAAAAGTGAAAACTTTATGAATAATCTGTACTACGTAGCACGTAGGTTCTATACATATTCTCGCGCATATAAAAGCAATATCTCAGCACGTTAACAGGCAGTGCTTGAAATTCTAGTGGATCGTATAGTATACAAGTCTAGTAACAGTATAGAGAGGATTATCTGAATGTTGTGTGTTTCCTAAGTAACAGAACAGAAATGCACTTGATTCCTCAAGATAGAAAGACCGAGATTCAATCAAGCGCGAATTTGCAATAAATTTTAATAATAAATTTTTGAAATATAAATAACAACAGAAAACGTTTCCGACTGTTTTTACAAGAAGCAAGTAGTATTGTTTGTCATTATATCGTTTAAATATTAGTTATTTGCATTTGTACAAAATATATGATAAAATAAGTATTTATGCGAAATAGCTACTGTTAATATTTTATGATGTATCTGTATCAAAACGCGTAAATATTGAACGACATATGTTTATCATGTTATTTTCTCTCTCTTTCGTCTGTCCGTCTGTCTGTCTGTCTGTTTGTCAGTCTCAAAAAAAAAATCATCACACATATATTTTAACAAAACTGTCTCGTATTTTTTTACCTTGTCATCCGTACAATATACGAGCTTCTATCATTGTTAAAAAATAGAACATCAATATTTTTTTTTTAAATAAAAAGAGAGCCGATACGAGTCGTAAAACCGGGTGTCCGTGTTTCAAGGATTTGTTCGAAGTTTGACGACAAATGTTTCGATCCGTAGGATTTAGGATTATATCTTCTTCAGTGACTTGATTAAAATAAAAGTAAAAAACTCAGTCCCGATCAGCTGTGCATAGCTGTTCGCAAAAACCAAACTTGCTAAACGATAAATTCTATGTCAAAAATTACGCAGACACATCATTACCCTCTCCTCTCTCTCCCCGCGACAACTGATCAGACTGTCATCAATATTTTTACAGAAGAGAACACAGAATAAAGAAAAGAGAAAGTGATAATGTATCTAAATTGGTACATTTGTTGTATATGCATAAATTTTAAAACCTTTTTTTAAATTAAAGACAAAAGAACAGTTCACATATATTTCGCCAATGTGAAAAGGAAAAGTACGAGGCAGTTTTATCTGAGATATGTCTGATGAACGCGAGCTATGTAGGTACGTCTCGCGTCTGAAACGACTTAAAAAGTCGTGAAATGCATTAGAAATCGTTTTCCGCGAGTTCTTTCTACTTCTCGCGAGTGAGTGACGTAAATGCGCGAAGAAAGCGCGAAGAATCGCGCGGAACGATTTCCGACGAATCAGATTAACCGCCTGAGTAGCGATTCGCAAAATGTTCTCCTGACTTGCTCTTCCCGTGTTTCGTGATGTAAGCCCGAAATCGTGATGTATGGTCTTTCGCGCCGTCGGTTGCTCGCCATTTTGCGTTTCGCCTCTGATAACATTGTACGTGTGTGTGTGTGTGTGTCACGAGTAATCGCGCCTTACACGTATTCCGCGTGTCACGACTTGCGGGGACGACATATTTCAATCTAATACGCTTTGCGCGCCTCCGACTATCCTTGCGCGAAACTTGAGATTAACACTAAACAACGGGGGTTTCCGCAAAACTTTCCGAGCCCGCGAATGTTGTCAAGTCGTGATTAGTTGGTAACGATCGGACGAGAAGCGCGGCGGCACGCGAATAATTAATGATATTTGCGGTAGCGAGTCTTGAAACTCCGTGAAAATTTCTACAACACCGCCGCCGGGTTTTGTCGCGTTTCTTGCCCCGCTTTGCTTTTCATTTTTCTTCGTTTCTAGTATGTTCATTGTTCTTTTTCCTGCTGCGTATAATTTACGTCGTGCCGCACGGAAACGATTTTTACTCGCGATTCTTACTAAACTGTTGAGAAAAACCATTTGTATCGTTCAGGTTTCAAACAACTTGAATGAATTCACAAAAGACTCTATTAATATTCCGTGTTCGTATAATTCATCTTTATTATAAAGGCAAGTAGTAAGAGACAAAAGTTAGTTTGAGGAGTTCATTCTTGGAGAATAGAGTTGACTGGCATACACGTGACGTTTATTCGCATATCCCACGAACGTTTTACTCGGCGACACGCGCGCGGAGACATGTCGCATATGTGCGCCGCGTGCTGTAGGTATTACTCGAGCGAGAAATTTGTCCTAATCGATCAGAACCCCGTTCACACCCGCCGGATGCGAACAGAGAAAGGAACTTCCCCTCTTCGACACATGAAAGAACGAACGTTGGTCTCTCTCTCTCTCTCTCTCCTTGTTTCCGTTTCTCCGCTCAATTGATGTATCGAGCGAGAGATTTTTTCTCTTTTCCCGGGGCGGAAGAAGGCGCTTGTCTATCTATTTAAAGCGGTGGGACTTTATTGCGCATTCAAGTAGGAACAATACATTACTCAACACAACCCACCTAGCGCACGGATACCTTGGAGTCACGCCATCGCATCGGCAGCTTCCGTAAGTGGAATTTTTGGCAGATCGCCAGATACTAGGAAGAGACATCGAACGTCGTAAAATCCTCGTCGGGAAATGTTTTCCCGCGCCGCGCTCTATTCTTGACCCATAGGTACACGTTAATAGAGAACGTCGTTTACTCTTTAAAGGTCTTTTTTGTGTTACGGCCACTTGCTACAATAAAAGAACGCCTTTTAATTGGGGTCAAAGGTAACACTCCAAAAAAATACACACAAACCAGAAGCAAGTTCTATTGTTAGACACAATTTTATTCTATTTTTCTCTGTTTGATTAGATATTATGTTAGAACTTACGCGCGGGTACGTGCTATGTCGAGCATACACAAGTAACATTTACTATCAATTAAATTCAATAAAAACTAGATATTATTAAAATCTATATCACTACTATAGAAATATTTTAAATAATTATGAAACATTAACTTACATACTTTTATAGCACTCAAACTTTTGAAAATTAATTTAATACAAACAAATTAATTTAATTAACTAATTAATTAAATTTTTTACTCATGAAAATTTTTAACTCATCAAAACTTTGACGTCGGATGATGCATATGTGCGTCATTAAGATGAGTATAATTAGAGTATAAGAATGCATAAATGCATCACTTAAAATTTTTGACAAAAATAAATAGATAAAACTTTTTAAATAAATAGATAAGACTCTAAATAGGGGAGACCGCTAGTTATCACACGGGGTTAGGTTAGGTTAATATATTAAATTTTTTTCTTCTAATATATTAAATAAATGATGTTTTTTTCATAATTTTATTAAAATATATGTACATTTGTAGCGATTTATTATGTCATGGCGCGCAGAAACCTTTCAAACGTTTCTTTGAAACTACTAGAGATTTTTTCAATTTGTTTTTTGTTGACGTAGAATCGTTCAAACTTTTGATTCAAAAAAAAAAAAGGAAATTGAAAAAATCTTGATTTTTCGCGGAGATATTTGATCTTAAAGTCGCGTGGGTCTCGCAGATCCAGTCTGAACAACTCGTAGATCATTTTTGAGGTCTAGTCTTGAAGGGTTAATTTTCTAGTAAAAAACCACTATTTGAATTTTGTAATTTTTTATATGAGATAATTTTTAAACTTGTCGATGTTGTTGATTCTTCAATCAACAGGTTTTTTTCATTAACTTACAATTCTTGTAAGATTTGTTCTCTTTTTTTTCTCTTTCTCTCTACCTATCTATCTTTATAAAACTTATTTTATTTGCTGATTTTCTGTTTGCCTCATAGTTCTCGTAGTCAATTTCTCAAAAGAACGCGACTGTTTACTGTGCAGAATCGTAAGCCGTTCGATCCACTCTCGAAGAAAGCGTGCTTGCGCACGAAATAATATCCAGTGCACGTTCGCGTCCAAATCCTATCGAACGTAATGTACGAGCAATGCGTTCTTCGGAAAAATTTCGGATGTAGTTTTGCGAATTATTCTTTAGAGTTGTTCCCGGTTTGTTGTCGATAGTAGCGGAGCGACTTACGCCCTTCCTGCAATCCGCCCGAACCGGTCAAACTTTTCCGAAACCGTTCGGTCTCTCGTGCGCACATATCTTTTCTTGCCTTTATCCTTCGGCGAATGAGATAAAGGGAGGATTGAATGTTGGCGTGAAGTTGACACATTTTCAAAAACTAAAAGTTGCGAAACCTTTAACTTCTATTTGCACGCGCGATAGTTGGACAGCTCTTGCTATCTGGAAATTCCACGGGTAAATCGTTAAAACTATTGATGGCATTTAGGAAAGAATGTAAAATTATATTGCGCGTGCAAATAAATAGAATTTGTGTTAGAACTGTAATTTTTTTAAAATACTGTGTCAACTTCACACCACTGAGAAATGTATTTTCGTTCCCATGGCTAAACGGTAGCGATCGGAATTCATGACATCGGTATATCGTGAGAAAGATCGATGACCCGACTAGCTACTGAAGTGTTAAACGTCATAATATTTTTTTAATCTAGAAAATTTTAGATATCGTTTAAACGTTACAATTTATTCGATACTTTACACATCAAGCAGACAATAATAAAAGATTAATGTTTCGTTACCATATGTATTACATTTTATATAGTTTAAGATGCTTCTTAAGTAAAGAGCTTCTCTTCTCGAGTAATTTTAGAGAAACTGTAATTAAGCCATGCAACACATTGCGCTTTCTCTCTTTCTCTCTCTCTCTCTCTCTCTCTCTCTCTCTCTCTCTCTCTCTCTCTCTCTCTTTCTCATTGGTTACCTAACTACCCTTATAGTAGTAAATCAACCAAATCTAGCTTTCAGCAGTGCTATATATACAGGTTAATTATGCAGAGTAGGGTTCGTCTCATAAATTCAGAGCAAAATTTCGTTCCTACCACGAGATAACATTGTATGTGATCTTCACGTAAGATAAATACAATTTAGACGGCTATAGAGGTTTATGTTGCAAAAAACCTACGTAGCTAAATGCACCGCACGAGATAGAGATTAATGCAGTGAGGTAAATACCGTGTTAGAACAAAATTAATGAATAAATAAAATCGCGATAGTAAGGATAAAAAATAAAATTGCACGTTGCTGACACGTGCAATTAGGAATGTATAAACACGAGTGAGACGTTAATTTTTTCTCAAGTAGGTACGTAAAGCGATCAACCGCAAAATCTAGCTGCTTGTTCATCGATAAGTCTCGCACTCGAACACGATGTCACGTAAGTTGCTTACAATTCTCGGCGGGATCCGAGCAAATAATTAACTTCCAGCCGAGATTTCCCGACACCGGAGAAAAGCTATTACCCGAACGATTCGATTTCCATGCGCCGATAAGTTGATATCGATCTGCGGCTCGCGCTACCTGCTCGTGTTTCCTGTAGTGATAGTCCTCTTTCGATTATCTTTCTCAAATTCTACTCAGGATCGACGCGATTAAATCGAACGCTAGGTCGATTTTATCGATGTATTGGTATCCAATTGTTCTGATGTATTTTTTTTTTCATACGCATGCCAGAAAACTAAAAAATGAAAAGTTATAATAAAAAAATTATAATATCTTGTTTTTAAGTGAATTTATATAATGATTGTTTAACTTGTGAAATGTTGCTTCCTCCGGCAGGAAAAAAACAAATATGTTTGCGAATTTTGGAAATAAACTTTTTTGTAAGATAATTAAGAATAAGAAATTAGTATGAAATATTTATTAAGATTAAGACTTTGTATAATTTTCGTGTGTCTTCTAACAGTTTGCTTTTACTAAATACAAATAATACTAAGTTTGTAATATAACACATTGTTTTTGTAAAAAAATCAATTATTTAAACTTAGATTATTGGATCCACGTTAGTACTTCTATTTTCCGTCGATCCATTATGTAATGTCGCTACATTTTTAAATGATATCTCAAGTAGTGCTAACTATTTCGTAACTTTGAGTCTAGAATCTGTTGAATTATACTTTAAAAACCATTTAGATTGTATTAAAAAAAAATATTGAATATCAACAAAAGTTATTGTTCAAAATGTTGTAAAAAAATGATAAATTTTCTAAATGTGTGTGTGGGCAATGTTTTATTTGCAAAAAAAGAAATGTTTATTTATATCTTACGATGATTATTTTTGTTCACTTGCTCATCTTATGTTCTTATTGTCAGGAATTTATCTTGTTGCAGGAAATTGTTGCAAGCAACAATCCGAGCAAATCGCACGGGATATTTTCTTTGGGTAGGCAGTGACTCGTGGGGCGCAAAAGTGCATCCTGTGCGAGATCAAGAGTATACGGCTGAAGGTGCAATCACTATCCTTCCCTACAGAAATGTTCTTGAAGGTAACGGAAATTATTTGCTACGCTTGTAAAGGAAACACTTGTCGAAAGTTATTAAATAACTTGATACGTTAATGCACAAATTTAAAAGAAAAGTTTTTTGATGTAAAAAACGGACACTCACGGTTCACTCAAAATCGTCAAAGTTTTCCTGTCGCCAAAAAGTTGCTTGCTATACAACTTCTTTATACCGACACGGCGATATCGTTTCAACTCCTCCAGCTTGACGTTCATTAATCTCGCGACAAGTGAGCAATATTTTCTGTATCCGCAGAAATTATTACGTCGCATCATCCAGTAACTTTTAGCACCGAAGAAACGAGCGCGACGATGTGGTACCTCCAACGTGCCAAGTAATTAACACCGGAGTGTCAAACTCTCGTTATAGTTCAACCGAATTATAGAACTCGCCGTTCCATAGAGTATCAAAAAAGATGAAGATCGTCGTTAGAAAGTTCATTAATTCTATAAACTGTCAGACTCGGAAAAGCGAGAATGCTGAGACACAGATGCGACAAGTTTCACGCCTGTTTTCATTTGTCACTTTGGATTCTGTAATTTACGTAGCAAGTTTTTAGCACAATAAAACGAAATAAGTTTGAGAAAATTAAGTCGGGAAAACAATTGTTAAATGTATTTCGCGACTGTGCTAACTTTATGGTATCATTGCGACATAATGAGAGACGATCTAGACTTCAATTCGATTTTAGTCGCGCAAATATTTAACAAAACTTCGCGAAAGTATTTGTATGATTGCATAATTAAATAATAGTATCGTTAAATAATTTGTTAAAACTAAAGATTGTTTTTATAAAGAAATAAAAGAGAGAAAGAGAGAGAGAGAGTAGAGAATTGTGTTAAAAATTATTAATAAATCTTCAAGATATTTATTGAATAAAACGCTTTTATTTCAATTTTATCGCGAAAGTTAGTTTCTGCAATGAAAAAATGCGATGCATTGAAGATCATCGAGCACCATCAAACGACTTGACTGCAACAAATGCGATTCAATTTCTTATTTCAGATTTCAACGAGTATTTTGTAAATCTGCGTCCGAAAATGGGCAATGAGTGTGGCGGACAAATTCAATATAATGTTCCGCATCCGTCAATGGCAGGAAAGATCGTGAACTGCAGAAACATCTGGTTTCGAGAATTTTGGGCGCAGCATCACCGATGCACATTTGACACGGCGCAGCATGTTACATTACCCAATGTAACACGCTGCACAGGCGTAGAAGAGTTAGTAGATTACGAGCAAGAAGGTCTCGTTCCTTTTGTTGGTAACGTATAAATTTCTCATCTATCATTAATGATATACTTTTTTGCTTAATTATTTTCCATTGCAAAACAGAACAATAAAAGCATTCTACTTATGACTAATTTTTAGTTGGTTTACACCAATTTACGCGTCTTCCTTGTGTGTCAAACCAAATTAATGTGATAATTATCTTAACAACATTTTCCCTCGCCTATCGTTCCGCGTATCTATAATTAGTATCGGAAATTAATATGGAAATCGATGTCGTAAAGCGTTCAATTAAATTATCGCTTAAAACTACCCTATTTTACGAGAAATGACCTGTTCCGACATTCGACCTTATGAACCTGTCTGTGAACAGTTTTGATTTTCCAACTTTTTATCGTTATTGACTTCTCATTTATTTCATCATCACTGTGTTTCGTTGAATTAAATTCTCATTAATTGCGATATCGCAACAAACTAGTACACTTACAACACATATATAGATAAATTGTTTGATCCTCTAATCCAATTAATAACACGGACAGAGAGAATAACCCGCGTGAATCGCGCGAAAAATAACATTTCGAGATCGTTTATATCTTTGACGTGTGAGGAGGAAAAGAGATCGACGGGGGAAAGAAATGCGAGAGGTAAGACGAGCGGAAAGATAATATCGGCGAGACACGAGTGAGAGTAGAGAGAGCCTGAGCGTTCTCGGCAACCCTCCAACTTTTCGTCACTCTTCAACCATTTTTCTAAGCCAAAAACAGAAACGAAAAAACTTGGTCGCTTTCGTTCGACCGTAATTCCGACAATATATGACGAGACCTGCGAAATGAGATAACAAAATGATGCGCGCCTCGATCGATTATTTACCACACGATTTGTTTTTCCCAAAGCTATGTCTTATCTTAATCTATTAGAATTACTTTGTTTTTTCTTCTCGTTATTTGTTTATTTATCGCACACGAGTGCGATCTGATGTATCATTCCGTCTCTAATCACAAATATTGTCTAATATTTAATGAAAGAGTTGATTAAAGTAGCTGCTGATCGGTTTCTGTAATTCTGTAGGTCATCGTGTATTTGTGACTAAGCAAACTTTTGCAACGAACTTTTGCGGAGCAAATTCACCGCTACGAGAATGGAAAAGAGGAAAACACAGCGGCGTACCGAGCGAAACAATTTTCCTCGAACCATAGATTTCGCGTTAGCAAACAGTAGCAATGGCGTGTGAAAATTTGCACAGAATCAATCGCCGGGATGTCGCTTATGTTTCATTCTTTGTTCCCGTTTATACCTTCTTTTGTTTTCATTTTCTCTCGCAAAATAAACGACTGGCGGTCTTGTCGAGTGCAAAGTGATCGAAAACTTTCCACGAGTGCCATCGTGTGGCACATAACAAATCGTCCTATTAACTGTCACGACACGTTTTTCTCATGAGCAACAATTTGCGTTTCTATCTGTTTTATTTCTGGAGACCAATAAAGATGATTGAAAATACCGAATTCTTGAATAAATGAAGAATGGTAATAATTCGTCTCTGTAACGAAATATCACGTATAAGAACTTTAAACGGAATCGAACAAAAGAAATTACTTTTTCCCGATCAAATACTCGAATTATTTTATCTTGATCCTTTGTATGTTTATTATTTATTTTTTATGCTCTTAGAAAAGAATTTTGAAAACAATTTATCTCGTCAGGCAATTTAGACCGGCCCAGTGGTCTCAAAGATTTTACTTCAAAGTCAAATTTCGGGTCATTTTGATCCAATGTGACGACGGAAAATTAATCTTTCGCGGATCGACTCTCGGAAATGTCTTCCTAATTGGCCTGTAAGACTCACGCGACTTTAAAATTAAACATCTCCGTGAAAACTCGATATTTTTCAAATTTGTTTTTTGAATCAAAAGGTTGAACGATTCTGCGTCGATAAAAAAATACTAAATAAATTGAAAAAATCTCGAGTAGTTAGTTTTACTAGAGACGCTAATGCGCAATTTCTGAGTGAGTCTGAGAGATCTATGTCAGTCCACGAAAAGTTATTATATAAAATTTGGATTTAATATATGTCTATTTATTTATTACATACCAAAAAACGGGGATTTACAACTTGTTTGTTAAACAGAGGACGCTGTTTATACGATGGCACACGCAATTCACAACGTAATCGATGAAGTGTGCGTGAACGCAATGAATACATCTCATCATCTGTGTGAGACTCTTTTACCGGCACCGAACGGCTCGTTTCTTCTTCAACATATCCGAAATCTCAGCTTCATAGGTGAGTTACGCAACTTCTGTAAATAATCATTTTCCATAATCATTTTTTAATTATTTTAATTATATTTTTGACAAATTTCCGAGAAGCAGCGTCTAACTAATGTCCTTTTCATTGCCTCTAATGAGCTGTCGCAAAAAGACAAAGAAACAAGTCCGCGTGAGCTCGTATCTCTTGAATTGATTGATTTTGAATATTATAATCTTGAATATTATAATCTTGATTTTGAATATTATAATCCAATTTATATTACACCTGTGCGTCCAATATAACGCTACTGAATTTTTAAAAATTACTGAATATGGCAGAAATAACTCGCGCGTGTTCATGTTATTTTTTTTACCGATTAATTGGATATTTAGCCGAGCGTTATTCACGCATCGGATGCAGGGCTGTTAAAATGAGACTCTCGAATAACTCGATCAATTGACTCGCGAGAATCGCGCGCGTACACCAAGTTCCGCGACCGCGTCATCCCATATACATACATGAAGCGATCTATCAGTGACGTCAGAGGGTGGCAATCTCGACGCCTCATCGATATTGCAATTAAAACACTTTCACTGATTTAACGGCACGTAACACTTTCGCGCGTTAGTGATACAATTAAGACTGATCCTCGTTACGATGTAGTATCAAGTGGCAACGCGATTATCCTGATTGTCCGTCATCTGATTGCATCATCAGATTTACCGTAATGTGAAATACTTGAATATCATTTCTGATTTTCTTAATATTCTCATTGCTGATCATTGTCTAATCCAACGTATTTTTATATATTTGTTCACGTTTAGATCCCCTCGAGATCATTTATGTGCTATCACAGTGCCATAGTTTGTGAAATATTTTATCTGGACTAGTTGTTTGTTTGTTTGTTTGTTTTTCCAATATATTAGCAGAGTAAACGCAGAAATGTTTAAAATAAACCGCAGAACATCATTGAAGACACATAATGACAAAAGTTTATTCTACGCTTGATGCAACATTTTTTTCACTTTCTTAAACTTATATTTTTCAATTTATTTTTTTCAACGAAGCAAACGAAGCATCAGTCGAAAATTATACTTGACAAACATGCGCAAGTAGTAAAATTTGTAATTACGAGTGAGTTTTATTTAAACAAAGCTCGTGAAAATTTAAATATATAGGGAAGAAGAGCCGATACGAGCAAAGAACTGGATGTTTGTGTTGAATATGTTTATTGAAATATTATGTCAAATGTTTCGATCCAAACTGTCGTTCGGATCTTCTTCGATGACAATCTAAATTTAATTATAAATTTAATTATAAATAAATATACAAAAAATATAAATGTCCATTCGCAAAGATAACAATTTTATATTTTTCGCATTAAATTGAATTCAAGCATGTCTATTAAAATTGTCACCGGAAAAGAAGATCCGAAAGTTGGATCGAAACGTTTGACATATTATTTGAATAAACATATTTAACATCCAATTTTTCGCTCGTATCGACCATTTTTTCTTATATTTTTAAAGTAAAGCTGTTAATTTTGTAATCGAAAATCATGCTTATTAAAATCTGGAGAAACGAAGATTCTAAGTATATAAATATATATTTTCAATTTCTACATCAGTTTTGTCAAGAAACTTCTCCGTCAGCGGTGTATTTCTAAAATAAAGTCTATTTGCTCTGCAAACATATGTCTACAAATATTTCCAGATCGAATTTTATTGGATTGAACCGGTTGCCGGTGTGGAGTCACTTATTGCCACGACTTATTGCAAAGTTGTAATTTATTTGTATTCGCGCTATTAAAATATCAATCTACTCATAAAGTAATAACAACGATAAAAATAATCAATTATTGTGAAATTGGCTGAAACGATTCAGCTCTCGCAACGGTATTTACTTATTTACTTTACTACGGGCTATGCAAATCCAACGCGCGTGCACAAATACCGCACACATTCGGCTATAAATAAAGCAATTAATTTCGTATTTGTAGCCTGTTTTCGATAATTGGCTTTTGAAAGAGGACCGTATACCGTTTGTACAGCTCGTCCGAAAGAATCAGGCTTACTCTGTGCACGTTGAATTTCGGTATTATCTGAAATTTCGATATCATCTATTTCAAATCACGTTCTATTTAACATTTGGAAAATAAAAAAATTCGCGTGAAACATTTCCTTTTGTTTGCTTTTATCGCGTTGAGAAAACATTTTCGTCGTTTCATTCAAACTTTACGTCTTCGCTTTTTGTTTGCATAATGTATGTATCAAATATTGTTTTCTTGTTTGTGTCTCACTTATTGTCTGTGAAACGATGTAAAGCAAAAAGCCTTTTGGCTCCAAAACTTGGCCTGTAAATAGATAGTCGATTAATCGCGTCTATAAGTTACCCAATAATATAAGTAAAAAGAATGATTTATTTTCTGTAAAAAATTTAATTTTAAATGTTTTAAACAAAAAATAAGTATTAATATATCCTTTGTAAAAGGTTCGAGAAATTATCTCTATTTTTTTCATACATTTACATTGTGTTAATCTTATTATTTAATTAAAAACTTTTAATCAAAAAGTCAAAATTTTACGGAAAAATTAGCATTTCAATGGATTTTCGTAGAGCAAATTTGTCATACGGATTGACGTAATATATGTGATTCGAATTGCGCGAATAATTGACGATAATTCCGCTGCCACGTGAAACGCAAGCTCTCTCGATACGGTCGATAATACGCGCTTAGCTTAGCTGCAATAACGATATAACTTATAACGATAAGCTTGATATAACTCAGCAACTACTACCGCGAATTTATTTGAAACATTACGACAGGCACGAGTTTGCAAATCCAACGGACTTATGCGCGCGCGCGCGCGCAAAATTATAGGTACATTGTTTCGCGTATTTGTCTTCGTTAATTTTGCTAACTTTGATATTTTCGCGCTTATTTTTGTACTCAGGTACAGTGAATCTAAAAAGTATTGACACACCCACATTTTTAAAAATATTTTTATATAGTGAAGTGTGATATTAATACAAAATATAAGTCCATTAGTGTCAATACTTTTTGGAGCTACTGTATGCTTGTGTCTATGCAGTCTGATTACGTGGAAATGAATAAACTTACAAATTTTGGTAAACTTTTTAACCATGTCACGCTTTGTTATTGCTATGCATACTCTCATTCTCTTTTCTTCGTTTTATAAAAGATAATTAAACGTAATTACATATTTGTGAAAAATATGTGTAATTAATTATTTTTTACAGTATGTTTGTTTTTCGCGTTCTTCGGGATGGCTTGACTGTAAACGTGCTACCTCTCATTGTACGAAAATAAAAAAGAAAATATAAAGTTTAATAAAAAAATTTTGGTTGAAAAAACATAAATATCAGATGCTCCACATTGAAGATGATGGCAAAAAAATATTGCTACATTATTGCCGTGGTTTTCATCATCTTTTTCTCGCGGCGCGCGATATCCTCGTTCCTGCGTCACGATGTTTTATTTTTGTAGCCGTTCATAATTTTTTCTCCGCGTAGATAAGATATTCTCTTTTCTTTTTTTGACAACGTAGCTTGTAAAATGACGTACTTGTTTTAGAAGCTTTTTTTTCTCATCGTCCCTCTATTAGGGAATCTTAAGCGTACTTTATCTTGTATACGTATATTCGCCTGTACTTTTGTCAGTTTGTGCTTGTGTCGGATTACGATGATGAAGAGATCATCATACAAAAATAGGGGAAATTGAAGTCGCGACAGAGGCGGAAACGAGCTGCGTAATCCGCATATTAAATAATTTGATATACATCTCGCAAAATGTCCAGATTTACTGCAATTCTTTTACAAACGATGGAATAAACATGTTTACTAAGAATAAATTTTTTAGATAGAAAACATAAAATAAATTTTACATTTTTTCGTAAAGTAATGAGAAAGAAAGAAATAAGCGCAGTTTTAAAATCATGCCACATATATATGTATATATAATATAATATATATATATATAAATCTTATTTTAATTATATTTCCCAGGTCGTCAAAATACTGAAATCAAATTCAACGCCGATGGAGACGCTTACGGATTCTACAATATATATCAATATCAAAAGAATGAGGATGGCCACTATGATTACATTCTTATTGGAGAATGGAAGGAAGAGTAAGTGGCAGCCCCTCTTCGATTTTAATAGAATTCCGTAGACATCGCCATTTGTCGTGAGAGTTACCCAAACTGTCACATTAATCTTTCTACGTAATATAAATCCGCCTACATTTTGTGTCTCTAATATTATAGTCTTGAACTCTCTATATTATATAATGACAGAATATTATAATAGAAGAGAAGATATATATACGTATCTTCTCAAAAAACTTATATAAAATAAATATTACTTTAAAAAACCTGTACTTGAATAATATACGTTTTAGCTAAATTTATATATTGGCTCAACGCCGCCATTGCTAATTTGAAGATTATGTTTTAGTATGATTTTTCTTGTGTGTTGCTTATAGCTATCATTAAGTTGCATTATCGTTTATTTCAGGTTTTGAAATTGGTTGCGTTGTTATGCAGGGCACCTTTTGTTCGAATCACATCCACACACTCATTATAAATCAGGTTAGTCTGTTTTTCTGTTTATACGCACTCGTATTACCCCGAAAGTATTTATACGCACAATTGTTGCCGAAAATAACACACGTTTTTAACAAGAAACAGACATGTAAAATTAGAACCAAGTCTATCAGCTTCAGTGATAAATGCTGTTTTTTCTACGTAGAGGACAGAAATTAACAAACGTGATGCCTAGAAAAATATTTTGAAAAAGAACACATCTACTTTGTTAATTATTATTTTTTTAATATATTTGTTTATGAAATATTTCTGTTTTGAAACATTTTATTAGAATGGCTTGTTTTTAGCTTGATGAAGTTTTTTTTTCTACAAATGTTTTCCGCTCTGCAGGCTAGTTTGTTTAGACAAACAAACTTTTACAAATATATAACATCTGGTAATATTAGTAGACACTTCATAAAATCAACAACTTGCTTGTTTACTGACTAAAGATTAATTTACTCTTTCAGGCTTATCCTTGATATAAATAAAACTCAGTGGGCAACCGGTGTCGGCGAGCAACACATACCCAACAGCATATGCAGCGAAAATTGTCCGATGGGCTATGTTCGGAATTATATAGTAAGTACAAAATCTTTTTTTATTTCTAATAGAAAGTTTATTAAAAATCTACCAGTCACATAATCGACCAAGTCAGAACGGAAGATTAAACAAAAAATTCGAATGGGAGAGTCAACAAATTTTCTACGATATTATATGTACCCTCTATCATACTTAAACTCTGAGACGTTTTTTTTCAAATATCTTTTAGACTTATGCGGAGAAATGTAAGTCTGAACCTTAGTCAAAGTCTTTGTTTAATTCAGTAATATCTTGGTTAACTCAGGAATAATTACCGAATGTCGGAAAACCACGACTTGCAATTAGCTTTTAATCACCGACGTCAATGAACGCGCATTACAATCTCTTTCCTTTTGTGACGACTAATTAGTCCCGGAATCCTTTGGAAGAAAGAATATTTGCGCGAGATGTTTTTTTTTCTATTGTGTTTCTATTCGTTCTTTGATTGCGAAATCAGATAATACATACAATAATACTTCGTAATGAAACTGTTTATAAAAAGCCGTGAAGTTAGTGTGTGAAAAATAGTTATTAACTACTAAATTCTCAAAGTCTCGTTAACAAATAACGATTTTTTTTATTCGTGTATTTTCGTTCCAGTTGTTCTATTCTTTATATAAGCGAGTCAATTTCAGCCTTCTCAGGTACGATCGGCTCTTTAATGTGTTTTTATTTGTGTTTTTCAAGACATTTTCTTCTTGTAAAGTGAAAGCGAAAGCAATTGCGACTCGTTACTTTTAAATTTAAATTTCGTTATTTGTACGTAGTAAAGAATTCCCGGCAAGTTTTAACGTGAATTCTCTTCAATCTTGCTCCAAGTTCATTAAAATTATCTTTCCGTTTGTGTGTCGGCGTTTTGCCTTTGTCATTTAAGAACGATCACCCGTGACCTTAATCGACGAACCGTGTCCTTATCATCTGCTTCTTACACCTTTCTTCTGATGCTCTTTTCGTCGTCATTAGCATCAGTTTACTTTGCTAGATTGGGGGCTCGACTGTAATAAGATTGTTCGCGTGTTTATCCCATTTGTCATACAGTTTTGAATAATAAATGTTCAACATTGAAATGTTTTTGTTGTCAGGGCGGACCTTGTTGTTGGTCCTGTCTTCCGTGTCGGGACGAGGAGTACGTGGTGAATGACACATGTAAGAACTGCGATTTAGGACTCGCGCCAGACGAAACCAAAATCGGATGTATAAAAATAACGCCAGAAGTGTTACCTTGGATAAGTCCGTGGGTGCTCGTACCGTTGATTTGCGCATCCATCGGGATCGTGTTCACGATTTTCACGCTATGCGTCTTTTTGCGGTATATAACTCATTACATATTCATATACTTATTCGAGTTTATTTTCGTAAGACGTTCCATTTTTATCGCGCGCCAGCTTTTAATCATTAATTGACTTTTTAACAAGTTTGGTGGGAACTTCATAAGAGAAGTTGTGTAAAACTTTTTATATGTTACATGTGTACGTACGCTCGTGTATATATATTTTATGTATATTATATATATATATATATATATATATATATAAATTATATATATATATATACATATATAAAATATATATTATGTATATATACATACTTATATACATACTTATTAGTGAAAAAGAACTTTTGTGGGATTGGTGACGTAAAAGCAATACATTTTATAAAACTATAATAAAGTTGAGTGGCTATTAGTACCAAAAATAAATGATTAAGAGTGTACTAGTCGATGCTTTGGGAGCGCAAAAATTTCATCGTAAGCTTAATTAGCGATCTATTAAACTTACTTAATTAGAAGGCTAAAAGCTCGCTGCTTTGAGCTATGCAAAAAAATCAAACTTTTAAACTTTCGAGTGTAAATTTTCTTTAACGCTTCTTTAGCTTAAATTAATTAAATTAATTATTCATGTTTTTGCTCTACACAACTGCACGTTTGGTTTATAAATATCTTGTCTTTTCAAATCAAGTGATGTGTGAATTTATCGATTTCTCTATGTTTTCTCTCGATATTTGACGCAGGTTCAATAACACACCGGCGATCAGAGCATCTGGTCGGGAACTATGTTACGTTCTGCTGGCGGGCATTCTCTCATGTTACAGCATGAGTTTTGTTATCCTGAGCAAACCGACCACGCTGAACTGCACGTGTCTTAGGATTGGTCTCGGGCTTTGTCTGAACATGTGTTACAGCGCGATCCTGACCAAGACAAATCGAATATCAAGAATATTCAACAAAGGTGGATCTAATATTAAGAACGTTCCTTACACTTCACCTACGAGCCAGGTGTTGATCACTATTGGTAAGTAATGAAAAGCAAAATGAAAAGTTTTAAATGGGTGTTTTCATAAAAATCGGGAAAATATGGATTAAATCTAACGTAGATCTAATTTAAATCTCACGAGATAAAAAAACGAAAAAATAGATCTAATTAGTTCCGAGTTAGATTTAAATAGATATAAAAAAAAACAAACAAACATAGTTTCCGCGAGACAATCATTGCGAGCTAGTGTAGTGTTTAAACAAATTTGCCGTTTGTTTGCACAGGAATTATTTCCGTCCAGCTTGTCGGAAGCATGGCGTGGTTGATATTCGAACCACCAGACGTCACGGAAATATATCCATATCCGATGTCGGCGGTGCTCAAGTGCAGCGTATCGACGTTTTCCTTGATGATGTCTCTATTGTTCAACATCATCCTAATCCTGCTTTGCACGTTTTACGCATTTAAAACGCGCAAGATCCCGGCGGACTACAATGAAGCCAAATATATTGGCTTCACGATGTATTCCACTTGTATCGTGTGGCTGGCGTTTGTACCTATTTACTTCGGTACTAACAACGAACATAAAGTTCGTATTATCGGAGTTTGCATTTACTTTGCAATCGTTCTTGATGCTTTTCTTCATTAACGTGTAATATTGCAGGTTCAATTGACGAGTTTAAGTATGTGCGTAAACATCTCAGCCTCGGTCGTCCTCGGTTGCCTTTTCGGTCCAAAAGTATATTTGTGCCTATTTCAACCACAGAAGAACGTTCGTCGGCCGCATGTTCTACCAAATGTACGTATATGGTAACACACTTGATAAGTTTTAAGTGTTTTTTCGATAAAACACAACTTAAAGTTTTTAGCGCTTCACAATCTATTTTATAAAATTAATTAATTAGATTCGCATCAAGTCGCCGCGTGTCTAGCAACCGTGAGCGCACGAAATTGTGTTTTAGCATGTAAAATGAGGACACATATGTTGTTTGTCCAGCAGATAGAGATGAATATACGCGAGTTTTCTTAAATGTGATTCCAAATATTTGGAATAGAAAAAAAATAGACTTTAAAGCCGGTAGTCCACCGATATAGTAGTTAAAATAAATTCAAAAACTTTTTTAAATAAAGTGTAGGGATGCGTTTCGATCACTTTTTCGATTATTTTTGATCATTATTAGTCACTGTACAATAATAATAACAATAGAGAAAGTTAAAAAATTATATGATTAATGGTTTACAAAAAGTTTTGAAAAATTCACAATCGAAGAAATAAAATCAAAATATGTACATACTTTTGCAATCGATCAAAATCGAAAGTCTGCCACCGTATGTCAACAGACAAGAAAAGTCCAACTATTGGTTTATTGACTTTTGTTATTATTGTTATCATAAAAAATTCTAACATTGTTATTGCAGAGTGGCTGATGATGATTAAAAATAATAAAGTAATCAAAGCATCTCTTCATCTCATTTAAGAAAGTTCTTGAACTTATTTGAACCCACTATCATCGGTGGACTCTAAAGTCTATTTTAAGTATTATAAGGAAAACAATCAGTATAAGATATTTATTAAGACTTTGTATTCCTTTTTTTGTGTATGTCTTTTCTATAATAACAATTGGGGAAAATTTTTGGTTGATGTTCAACATGTTAATAGCTAATGTGTTTGATGTTGTGTATGAACACTTTGCAGACAGGTTTATACAGTAGCGACACTCGTGGAGCGTATAGTATGCGTTTTGCTGGTCGCAGCGAGACAATGCAGAGCGTGACCTCGATCTCACGTAGCAGCCCGTCGATGTCCCGTGCCGGAGGACGTACGAACGAACGCAAGCATGGGAACGGTGAGACGCAAGCTGTGGCGAGTCCTTCCATCGAGGAGACCTCTGTTAACTAAGTTGCTCTCTCAAGCACTTCTCTTCTTGGACTAGGGAAAAAACGTGCAAAGAACAAATGTGATGGATAGCAACTAAAAGATATTCGAACGCGTTTTATGACTGAAAGAATGTATTAATGATATGAACAGGAAACTATTGTAAACGAAAATGTATTATATATAGACGCGTGCAGACGATTAATAGATGAAATGGAATTGCAAGTAAAAGCAAGAGAAAACTATTCAACTTATAAGACTTAACATAATATTATTATGTAATTAAGAAACGCTGTAGAAGAGCGCGAAGTTCAAGCGCAATGCGCACGGAATAGCGGCGAGGCGAATCACGAAACTTCTACGCCTTACGCGAACTATATTATACACTGTTATCACTGTCAATAATATTAACGTTCTTGATATTAATGTTGTTAAAGTGTTCGTTGTTCAAATTATGTCTAGCGTTAATGTTAATCAATATTAAACAAAACGAAACATCTTAGGCCGTGTTCCGATATTCATTGTCGGTAATGAAAATCTATAATAGTTCACGTTGCATGCGCACAGATTTTCATTACCGGCAGCAAATGTTAGAACACACCTTTAGTACATGTTACGCTACGTCTCCACCGGAGCAACAACGAGAAACTTTTTGTTGCTTGCTGTCGCTGAATGTTTTCACATTATGTCAACATATATCAACTTGTAGGAACATGATGTCTCGTATTAAAGCGACATAATCATAGGAACATTTAGATTTTGTTTTTTCTCCAGTTTCTTCTCTCTCATTTGTTTCTAGCAACTATAGTTGTTTACACTCAAGAAACAAAATTAGTTTACTGTAAGCGTATTAAATTCTGTTATCTTCTTATTATGCTAGTGTAAATAAATGGGAAAAAGCCAATACTAATCTACTAGTTACACTAAAAGTTGTCAGTACCGGAGAAGTATGTTTTTTATATTCTAATATATATATATACATATATATATATATATATATATATATAGTAATATCGTGATATACAATAAAGGATGTAATGCTGTTAAAAACGAGTACAATAAGATATGAGTTGAAAATTTAATTTAATTAATTGCAAAGTATGCGAGTTTTATCGATTTTATACCGAGCAAATGTATCCGTATTCGCAAATCCTTTAGTTTAAGAAACTGAAATCTTATATACCTGCGATCTAAAGTCACGCGATCAGAAAATTAGAGAAAAACTGGAAAATAAAATTAAATAAAATTGACAATTTAACAAATAGTTGACTTATTTATTAAAACTAACTGTACGTTTTAACATTCACATATTTTTTTTATACGAGTTATTTTTTTCAGAGATTTAATATTAAATAGTTCATGAAAATGTGTATACATATATTAAATATATGCTTTTTTGAAAAAATATGTATGTACACATCACAACAATATACATATATATACACGTTGTGATAATAAAAAAAAATGAATTATGTACAGTCTTCTTACGGTCTATTATATCGTATCCGCTGTCGATCCTGAAGACCATAATATTCATTACAAATAAGCTTGCACAGGAAGAGATGGAACACAATTATCAGGAAACCTATGCTGACCCAGAATAATGAGGGCAGACCTCCAAGCTGATGTCCGTGCTTGTGCAAAGCCATCACCTGGTGATCATGTGCTGGCGCTAAAAACACAAATCATAAATTTCCGTTATAAAAACTATGTAAGAAACTGATTTTTTTTTAAAAAAACAACATTATTTTTATCAACACATTCGCGGCCGATGACGTAATTCTACGTCATTTTAAAGTCTTTAGCCTACAGCCGGCACCATAATTCTTACGTTATTTCAAGATCCATGTTTATTTGTTTAATAAACATAAATGTAATATGATGAAGCAATATTTTGTATATTTACACTAACTTAGATGGAAAAACCCTGTTCTCAGTTATAGATGTTTGAAAATTGTACGCGACTTTTAAGATAGCGGTTTCGCTCTAATCGGCCGCGAATATATCAATACGTACACAGGTTTCTTAAATTACTCTGAGAAAAAAAAGAATAAAATATGAATTGTATTCTGTACCATTATCTACTTCATGTACATGAAGAGCGTTGCGAAGATCTTGCATATGTTGATGATCTGACGTTATATAGAGTATCGCGGTTAGTGGTTTTGTCAATTTTACAGGGAAAGTTGTGTACGTTTGACTGAGAGGAACCGGTGCGTCTAAACACCCGGCGTCACATCCAAAGTAAACACTATCACTTTTATCCAGAGCCACTCCTAATATTGCGCGATTATCCTCTCCGACTGTTACAGATATATTTACATGCGTTAAATTCCCATAATTTATGCGTCTGAAAGAAATATAAAATCATCCTTTATATATTTTGAGTTATATTCGCATGAGTTAATAGGATAAAAATTATGCACAGTGTCTCGCAACTACCGCATCAACCACTTAACAGCAGACAGTTTTGCCAACTTTGAACACTTATAATTCAAAACTCATTATTGTTCTTGTGGTGACTAAAGCTACACAAAACTACAAATCGAAGCAACACGCCGGCAGTAGCCGCGAACACTGAAGCAGACCGGCCTGCGCAGTTACACGCGCCGCCGCTACATGGTGCACGGCCGCGAGTCGTCGCGCGGGAGTAACTTTTCCGCCGAACGTAATAAAAAAGGCTCGCCGAACCACTTTTATCATCGCAGCGATTGCAGCGGCTACGTTGTTCAAGAGTGGTAAATCAGAGTAGTACCAGAAGGCTTTTTAAGAATAAAGCCTCCACTCTGTTTCAGAGTGCACAAAAAGCCCGGTTTCTGCAACCACCTTCTCGATCATCCAGAGGTTCATCTCGAGCAAAAATGGTTCCGGAGCCAGCGGAAGCAGCCAAGGGAAAAGAATGCCACGAGCAAGAGTCAATTCTACCATGGCAATTCCAGGCAATTAATCCGTCGTCTCCTCGTTTCGCTCAGCCACCAAGGATACTGCTGACACAGTGGAACATCCCTTCTTTCATAACACCGAAGCAAACGCCGGTCCATCACTTCACTCAGACGCTACCCCCTCTCCGGGTACATCGAGGAACGCAAACGCCGAGACCAGTATATAAAGACCAAGCCTCGCAATGCAGCGACAGTGACTGGAAAGCTTCACCAAAGAGAACGGGGACACAAACCGAGTTTACAGCAGTCACTGGGGGATTCTCTTCTCTAAGGAGCAGCCACTGTACGCCACCGGGGAGTCCACCAGCTTTATGCCAGGAATTTTCCGAACTGATCAGCGAATATCCGAGGGACAAAGTCAAGCCAACTCATAGCCGCTCTGTTAGATCAAGGGATTTCTACCGCCGGCGCTCCGGAACCGCCGCTACGCAATCATCTTCAAAGCGGCCTGCAGCTAAGATCCGAAGGCTCGCAGAGAAAGGACGGAAACACAGGTGGTCAGTGGGGACTACACGCTAAACGAAGACTCAAAACCTTCTATCGAATGGCAAGAGAAGAAACCACTCGCATGAACCAACGGCTCTTGTCAGAGCCAAGCATGACAAACATGTTGTAAATAGAAAATAAATCTTTTAGAATAAAAATAAGAGTTTATCATTGTGTGACCTGCCTACCACGATCCACTGCTGCTATCTCATTTTTGCTGCTGACTCTGCTGCGTTATTTTGCTGTGTTATTTATTATTAGATATTACTTTCGTCTCAAAATAATCTCAGGAATCTGTCGTTGAGCATTATGCGGTAGTTTAGAGGATCTCACATCTTGACTATACATACCTGAACAAGTAATCACGATGAAGATATTGGGGATCGATGTTAAACTCGAGATGTTGATTGCTGAATCTCAAGCCACCCAGACTCAGAACGATCGCCTGTTGCACAGCCGTAGGCCCGCCAGTCACTAGATGATGGCATCCTTGCTTTTCCAGTGTTATCAACCATGCTTCGACTATCTCGTTCACAGCATCGATAGACGAAGTATCTTTCCACAAACGAGGAGCGTCCCTGACCAAAAAAATCGTGATTAACGCAAGTACATTGGTTTAGGAGTAAGGCAATTATTTCAATGCTTACAAAGTGTGATGACCTCGGTAGCAACCTTCATTATTGGCGACATTTTTTTCCACATCCTGAGTACTTCGCGGTACCTGAGATAATACGTAATACATAGTAGAGTTGATCTTATGGCCGTTAATGGCGCCCTCGGCCTTGGAATCACTTATTCTCAGACTCGTGTACCAATAACTCTGCCAGAGATTCACGTGCTCCTCCCTCAAGCTTCGTTGGCGCGCAATTGCTTTTTTTAATAACTATGTTAAAGAAAAAATTTAATTATATGTTGAATTTTCCCGATAAATAGATAAAGTTAAAGAATCTTTCGGTTGCTTACATCGATTGCCTTCTTTTTCGTAGTGTCACGTTCCACGTGATATTGCTCAGACAAAATTGCTTCGCTGTACTGAATGCTCGATAAGAACTCGAGTTTTACGGAGCTGCGCGCTTTCACTTGCACTGTTTTAGGCGGAACTTTGTAAATTATCGATACTACTATTATCTTGTTGGAATTGGGCAGCGATACAAATCCAGATACAAAATTATAATCGTGATTAAGTCCGTCAACCTGAATTCTGCCATTAAAAACTAATTGTAAGTGTTAACACAGATAAGATATAAATTCTGATATAAAAAAATATTATTTATACTTCTAGTATATAATTAAATTTTATTTTACCTAATGGGTTCTACGTGGGAATTTGTCCAATAAGAGGATTCCTGCGGTTTCAACGGTATTTCTTGAGACAGTGAAAAAGAATTTGAAATTTTTATAGTCTGTACTAAAATTCCCTGGAGACTTCTGTGGGAATAATACTGAAAATCTATGTGATATCCGTCTCTAAGGCACTGATACTTATAAACAATCCCATTTGTGAAATGAATAACTGTAGCTTCCTGATAGGAACTCTCTTTTGGTACAGGATGTGAGATCAGTGGCTGCCACTGTACTGGCAACAAGAGGCCTCTCCCATATTTAATATACAGCCAGCCTTCTGGAGAAATAGGAACTCCAAAAACGCCATTGCCAATATATGGCAAGTATTGATGTTCATTTTCTTTAGGTGGATCGTGCAATATATTTGCATTATACTCAACAGCATCAAAGTAGAAACTAGCTAATCTTTCATTCATGCAGTGATCCTCAAATGCTGTGAAAGAAAAAATATATTATCATTGAATATAATAAAGAACTTATTTGTTGATTTATTGCAAATTCTGTCAAATTAAGCGTGATAGAGTTTCTTTTTTAAATTTCTTCAGTTCTCAACTGGTAATAAATTCTCTAGTGCAATTGACATTTAATATTTGTCTTTCCATCTTGACAGCATCTAATCCAATTTCTTGACTTCTAGATAAATTTTCAATAAACTTTATTCAAAAGATATCTCCCAGAATTGGTGTTCTTCACCTTTGTAAAGCTTGTAAAACGAATATGTTTTATTATCTGATGAATATCTTTATCTAGAGAACAAACTATTGAGAAGGTATGAAGAAATCAGGCATAAGAAAATTTGTAAATCTATGAGACACACAATTTATCACAACAAATACTTCTGTAGATTATCAGAAACTTTTTTAGCGCACTTAGCTTAGATTAGTGTGAAAAATTAGCAACTTATAGAAAGATTTTCAACTTGGTTTCTCAAGTGAGAGATATGAATGTTATTGAATAATCTTTATGAAAACATTGTGAGATCTAACGAAGCCAACCAAAGTTACCTTCGATAGGCTCCCTGGCAGGGGAGAAAAGCCACTGTGTAAAGGGCGGGCCGAAATACAGCAGTAAGCCGCCACAGATCAGGATAATCAGCAAGATCTTGCGGTAAGAATAATTGCCGTCCAGGAGGCGGCGCACGCGTTTGCTGAATTCCCGACTATCCAGCATGCCGGGTCTCATCGCGAAAGTGTTCGCGTAACAAATTTGAATTTTGTGTGAATTATCGTCGCCAGCACGACGACAAACATAACCTTCTCAACGCAGGAAGAATGTCGCGTAAATTATATACTCACTCGAATCATGCTTTCTTTTCAAGAACCACCTCTCAACCTAGATTTGTAATAAAACTACTACGCGAGTGTGATAACGCATGAAATGTCAAGGTGCATCGTTGACATAACCACATAAACGTGTGATACAAACAACGTACGACGGACATCAAACCATCCGCATCGGCTGCAATGACATTTAAGCCGGGAACACACACTTAAGCAATATTTAAGTTCTTTAAGCCTATGTCACACTACGGATTTGGATTGAAATTGGATTGCAATTTGGTCAATCAGAGCGAAGATCAGTAAACTTAGGATTGGTTTTCTTTCTTCTGATTGGTCAAATTTCAATCCAATCTCAATCCCAATCCGTAGTGTGACATAGGCTTTAAGTGCTTTAAGTGTTTAAAAACAAATTAGCCAATCACTTGCCAGCATTCTGTCAAGTGTAAATACGTCCAAAAGATTGTCTGTGATTGGTTAACGTGCTTAAATAACATTGCAACGGGTGTGCGGAATGTCGAATAGCTTTCGCGGGGGCGACGAAGCGAGAAGCGCCGCTCCTGCGGAGGGCTCGAAAATCGAACACATTCAGTGCGCGCTCGGACCACGCGCGACTGACGTTTGTGGTCGGGTTGTTGAGTTATCATGAATCCTCACGTCATTAGTGCCAATAAATAATTACAACCGCAGTATTCAACAGTATTGGCACACCGAACAACGACGAAGACTGTGACCGACGGTCGTCGATCTTCTTGACGATATAATTCGTTTTCCCCGGCAGCACGTTACATTCACACCGCTCGTTGTCGACGTCGATAGCCGTCGTCGTCGTCGTCGCAATGCACCGATCGCACTCTCATCAAAGACACATGGCCACTTAATTGAGCAAAATAAAAAAGCGAACATGACCTGTTCCGTCGTGGAGAAACACCCACACACTCAGAACTGCACACCGCGGGCTTAACGCATACTTTCTCGTCGTGATAATTGCTAATTATCGAGATCTCGCACGGTACATATATATATATATATATATATGTATACATATACATATCTGATAAGCGACAATGGAAAGTATGGAAGAGCGAATTAAATAATGTTCGATCAGTAAGAAATAATAATAACAGTGGGTTTTAACTGCAGTAGCAGCTACTGTGTTACGCGCGCTTTGTCGCGTCAAATCTGTCAACGAAATTCATTGTTCGAGCATCGTCAATGATTGTGACAAACCTTATTTGTGTTATAAGAAAAAGAAATCTTTCTTACGCTTTATGTGAAAGTTTTCCATTTCACGTGACAAAAGTTTGTTTTTTTTTATCCTAATGTATCATGTCAACGCTATAAAAATTTGTAATATATCGAAAAGCATTTGTGTGTATAAATTTTTCCTTCCCAGTACATTGTTAATATTTTTATTGTAATATTATCTCAAATGCACAAGTGTTTCACTCTTTTGCGAGCATATAATAATCTTTGTTTATTACTTACTGTCTTATCAGTACATGCATGTTAATTACTTATTGGCGGTGCTTTATTTTGACCTTGGGCTATCATTTTTCCAGCTGTTTCACCATTGTGAGTGGATAATGAGCATTTGAAAACTGATATTACAACATTTGACACTCATATTTATTGACATTAGAAAATCGGAACTATGCAAGAATTGTGATATTTGAGCATCTATTGTGAGATTATACTTCTCAGAAAGAGAAACAATATATAATATATGATATATAGTGGCAGCAGACATGTTTGGTTGTCCCAGAGAAGCTGTACGTGTCAAAGTTAAGGTATGCTCAAAATCAACAAAGTAAAACAAGTATATCTATGTTTTCCCTGTACATAGTTATAAGACTGTAAACAATTTTCATATAAATTTATATACAATATTGAGTAAAATAATGTAGATAAGTATAAATTGTATTAGAGATTTATATGCAATATTTCTATTTACTTGATTATATATGTGTTTGTGTACAGTTTTATCCTATATCTTTACATGTTATAATTATAATATATTACAAGTTAACAAAACTACTAGTAATTACAATTGTTCTCTTTAGAAATGCGAGACGAGGCATCAGCCAGAGTACCGCAAGTTCAGTGTGGATCCCCAAATAACATCAATAGAAGTGCTACAAAGCATTCTGATCAAAGCCTTCGACATAAAAGGGTGAGTCACATATTTTAAATTGATATAATTTATATATAGACAAAAATATATACTAAGTGCGGAACACATCAAGTTATAATTAAGTTAAATCAAAAGATCACGCAATAAATTTACAAAATAAGTTAGCATTGTATGATGTAAATCTCTGTCTCTTTCTATCTCTAAATAATGAGAAATATATAAAACCTATAATTTAATAAAATTACTAACTTGTTTTAAAAATATATTTATTTTTGTTTTTAATAATATATTTTTTGTGTTCTTTACAAACCAATTATTTCTTAGCAACACAGAATACACACAGTCACAATCACAGTCACAAAAACACAAACTTATACATGTGCAAGTATCCTTGAATTTATCGAAGCACTTTGACGCGCCGTGAAATATTAAAACTGTAAAGAGATTGCTCGCGTGCCACAGGGAATTCACCGTTTCTTATCGAGCGATCGACGATTATGGATCGGAGACGTATCTGTTCTTGCTCTCAGACTGGGACTTGGATGCCGCGTTCATCAGGTGATAACGATTGATTAATCGACGCTGCTTCGCAAATAAAATAATATTTCGAGACGCGAATATGTTTCGTCTATATATCACGGATTTTTTTCAGCGCGTCCGAGCCGTACCTTTATCTGCAAGTGAACTTAAAGCCTTTCGGAGAAACCGGAGATTGCGAGTGCTACTGGGAGCAAAATGCGCAGGAAGTTTTACCGCGTCAGCAGGAAACTGGGTTTCCTTACAGAACGCCAAAGTTGCCCGGACTTATAATGAATAAGGCAAGTGTTTGCCGCGCTTTCGATGTCAGCTTCAAAGTTCTCAAGTAAATATGTTAAAAGCTAGAGAATTGCTTAATAATGTATTTTGTTTTTCTTTTAATATTTATTTATCTTTATTATTTCTTCGATTTGTAATTTTGTATTTAGTTTTGTATTTGTTATTATTTTTTATTTAATTATTTTGATTATTGTTAGTTATTGTTAGTTATGTGTTTGGTATCGATCGTATCTACCAATTTAGTTTCTCATTACAGATGGAAAAGACGCTGAATATGGTACAACGAGCGTTGGGCAACTTGGCTGAAGAGTCTCATCAACAGAGCGTACAACCTCCACGACCGCCGTTGACAGACGCTGAGTTTCGCCGATTTCTCGATCCGATCGGTCAAGTGGTGCAGTCCAAAGATCTAAGGGCGGTTATTTATTTCGGCGGAATCGAGCCCAGCTTACGCAAAGTGGTCTGGAAACATATCCTGAATGTGTATCCGGAAGGAATGTCGGGTCGTGAGCGGATGGATTATATGAAGAGGAAAGCGCAGGAGTATCAAACTCTGCGCGAGCGATGGAGAACATTAGTGCAGAAGGGTCAGAATATTGGCGATCTTGGCTATGTCACCAGCATGGTGCGTAAGGACGTGCTCAGAACGGATAGACATCACAAGTTCTATGGCGGTTCGGATGACAATCAGAACACGGCGAGTCTTTTCAACATTCTAACAACGTATGCCTTAAATCACCCAAGTGTGAGTTATTGTCAAGGAATGAGCGACCTAGCTTCACCTCTTCTTGTCACAATGCGGGACGAAGCGCAAGCGTATATTTGTCTCTGCGCTCTCATGAGAAGATTGAAAGATAATTTTATGCTCGATGGAATCGCAATGACCATCAAGTTCGCTCACCTCGCCGAAGGTAAATTATTATACATTTTGTATTAAACATTATGCAACGTTATTTTTTTTAAATCATTATTTCAATTTTCTTATAAAATTATTCGTTGTAGTTTTTTTGGATCGATTTTTACATTAATCAACGTTCTCTTTCTGGTTAAAACAACAATCTTTATTTCGAGAAAAACGCACAGTATTTTTATAATGCAGTTGGATATATATTTCTTTAAAGGTCTCCAGCACTATGACCCCGATTTCTACGCGTACTTAAAGTCGCACCAAGCGGACGATCTGCTATTTTGCTATCGTTGGTTATTGCTGGAAATGAAACGTGAGTTCGCGCTGGACGACGCGCTCAGGATGCTCGAGGTTTTGTGGGCGGCATTGCCAGCTTCTCCTCCAAACGGCGAGCTGAGTCTTGCCGAGGTTCCTTTTCCACCACCGTCGCCACCGCCGAGTCCAAATATCAAACATATACGTGAGAACGCGTACACCAAAGTCTGCGCTATCAGACGACAGAGTTCCTCAGCCAGTATTGCTGCTAACGTGAAGCGAAAAACTCTCAACACGGATGAATCTTTGCAATCAAGCACCGAGATTAATGGAGATACGAAAAGGTTTCTTGTTTCGCATTAATTGCTTGCTACTTCAATACAAAGCTTCTGTCTAGATACTATAGTAAAATGAAATAAATTGTAATCTTTTTAATGTTTATATATTTCTAGATCTAATTCGCCGTACGAAACATTTTCTGATTCGGATAACGACTTAACTAACACAAAAAACAAGAAGAATACTGAATCGACAGAAAAGTGCCTAAGTACAGATTCTCTTCCCGTTAAATCAAAACGTTCGAATCTTCTAGAACTAAAGGAAAGATTAGCTGCGTCTTACAAAGAGCAATCTAAAACCAATGAACAAAATGATAATTTTAGTGAAAAAAAATGTGCACGAGTTGTGAAAAATCTGAACGAATTCTTAAACTTCACTAGCCTCAATCGCAGCAAAGTCACGCCAAGCGATGCCGAGCCTGAACTTAGGTAACTTTACGTGCAGAATTATTATTTGATATATTTATGCGAAGCAAATCATATTTTGACGATTTTTTGTGCGTGTATATTTTATTATAAATTTTGAAAAGCTTATCGAAGCAAATAGTAAATTTATAATTTTATTTTCGTCACAACTGTAGACGTGTCTCGAGTGAAAGCGGCGTCATTAGAGTGTTGAAAGATGAACCGAGCTCGCCGGACGATCCCACGGACTTCTTCCCGATGACTACGTCGATGACGAGAGAATTAAGACTGGAGTTGGAATCATTGGACCGACAAGTATTTGGTCCTTCACCGCCGCCTAACGATCTGCAGTGCGATTGCGTGCTCTCAAAAAGAGAAAACGACTTACCGGAGAGCGAGACTGAAACGGAGCTGGCGAGATGCAGTCCAGCGGCGGATGTATTTGTATGGGAGAACCCGTTACATACGCTACAGCAAAAACATCATCCAACGACTCCGGACGAGCAGGCAGAATTAGAATACGACGGTGAAATTTTGGAGGATCAGAACGGCGTAAAGTCCGTCACGCCAATCAGACTACTCAAACGTACCACCAGGTATGTTCATAGAGAAAGATTTATGTGGTTTTGAATATTTTAACGAGCAGCGTTCTAACAAGCTACTGAAAATTAGATAATCAAATTATATTTTATCAAAAAGTCGACGCTAATATTTCTTTCAGGTCAGAATCGGCGTCAGATAGTGAGGGAACTGAGAGTTGGCATCAAAACCCATCCGTACCGGAAAGTCCAACGAAGCAGCAGCAACAACAGCAACCTATTCAAGAACAATGTGAGGAAGCAACAGAGCTGACTAATCTTATACCCGCAGGAACGAGCGAAGATCAACTGGGCGAAAGTTCGTTGCCACCACCGCACGAGTTCGGTGGTGGGAATCCCTTTCTGATGTTCCTGTGCATTACTCTTTTGCTGCAGCATCGTGATTTTGTGATGCGTAATCAGATGGACTACAATGAGATGGCGATGCACTTCGACAAAATGGTTCGCCGTCACAACGTGATTCGAGTGCTCAATCAGGCACGACAACTGTTCGCTGGTTATCTTAGAAGACATTCCGCATCCTTGTCATCTTCAGCCGGTGGTTCGACTTCAACTAGCAAACCAGATGTGTAACTCTTTGCCGGTCAACTTTTCAAAATATCAAGTTAAAGTCAAATAACTAAAAAATTAGAGATGTGAGAATTATCATTCGATCACCTGAATTAATGGCACATATCATGAAACTTTATGTCGCCGATTTAAAAAAAGGCTTAAGAGGACTTGAATCAATTCTATCACAGTGCTCTTCCGCTCACGACGTACGCGGAACGTTCATTATACTCACTAGATCTGTCCACGGGTTTAGCGCGTAGACAGTGTCTCTGATAGACCATAGTTTTCTTCTTTGTTTCTTTTTTTACTTTTAGTACATAGAAAAAAAATTCTTCAAAATTTTTAAATAAAAATTCTACATACACACACACACACACACATACATTAAAATTATTATGATAATTTTGGAAGTTTGAAAATGTTCAAATGCCGAACATAACAACGAATAAACGACCAATATGTATGTCAAGAAAGCAATAAAATATGATGTACTTACAATTAAACATCTTAAGAGGATGCTGAAACGACGACCGAACTCCGATTCGGCCGCTTAGCCGCTACGCTGTCCAATGAGTAGCGCCCTCTAATCGAGCCGAGACAAGGATAGATGACGTGATAGAGACAACAATAGACGTATGTGTCTCTCCGGCACTTCTGCTAAACCTGCATCGTAATTTTCTACTTTCTTAAAAAGCTTAAAAATCCTTTTTGAAGCACTCAAAATAATTGTCTGTCTCTAGAAGTAGAAAATAGAGTTTTTGGATTCATACTGCCAGTTTTATATACGAAGTAACAATATATAGTCTATGTGATAACAGTCTATAAACTTTTTTTTGTTTTTCTACACATTCCATTTCTTTATCTCCATTTCTCTTTTATTCTGGAGAGACATTTTTCATTTCGATCAATGAGCGCAAAATGAGTGGAAAAGTCAGAACTGCCGGCAAAACAAGACGGTTCAACATTCTCTTAAGAAGTTTCTGTAGAAGTAAGATTTTCGAAATAAATCATATTCGAAAACTTATAAAAAAAAAAGATGGTTCATCAGAGACAAGTTTGCTTTGTGAAACTTAATGTTTCATAACATCTGTCATTATCCGCAAAACTTGTACTGAAAATTGAATAATTTTGATTGGTTCTGAGATTCTGAATACAACGATCCAAAATACTTTAGTCAATTCGCAAAATGACACCGTAACCTGTTCACGTTCACGCACGTTACACATTTTATCACTTCAACATAATAATGCACAATATCATCCGCATGCGTCGACGAACCCTCTTTCACTGTATCTGTAGAATTAAGTCCTCAGCTTAATGCATTCAGCAACGGTTACGATTCATGTGTCTCTTAGGATCGCGTCGCTTCTGAATGCGTTAAATTTGTAAAATACATCTGAACCTATACCCTAGAGCGGCTGAATCTTACTTTGTTCTCAAACAGTATGGGAAATGACAATAAAGTGCATTTAATTTTATCGCTAATAAGAAACTTTTTCTATTTATTATAGTTCAACGTTCAACGAAGTTAGGAAGATATTGAAAACTAAACTGGCTGCTGTTTTTTTTTTTTTCTTATAATAAGTTTGCGTATTTTTGTTCATATGTAAATGTAAAGTTGCTGGATACTTATTTAATCATATATTGACATATAACGTCAGAGGCACGAAATGATTTATAAATTGTCATTGCAACTTACCTACATCGAAATAAACTAGCTTTGTTTATACGCCAGCATTGATATTTAAAAGCACAAATTGGTAAAATTTGTCGACAACTTGTTTTTTATTCTACATTGGCAAATGCACGCATAAATTTAATATATGTTTATTTTATTTTCAATAATAGGCCTTGTGAATTTATGTTCGCATAATAAAACTTTATTTAATACATTAAAATAGTAAAAATTAAAATAGTAAAAATTTTCTTATTCTTATTTACAAATATCGACTATATTATATATATATATTATACTATATATATATTATAATATAATATATTTTATAATAAAAGAACAAAGCCGTTTTTAAAAAGAAGTTAACAACCTTTTCATAAAATAAATAACTTTTTGACATAAAGAGTTTTACTCTACTCTATATTTATTCTTTACAAAAAAATGTTCTTATATAAAACAAAAAACTATATATTACTTAAAACTAATTGATAATTTATAAATAGTTCGATTGACCTAAACATTAATTTTTTCCAATTGAATATTATTACAGAAATGTTTTTTTTCGTGTTTACCAAAGAAAATAGTCAGATTGAAGCTTGTGTCAATCTTTCCATAACAACAAATAGTTCTTAGAATCTTTACACGAACCAGCTTGTTGATCGGTAATTGTTTGAGGAACACGAAAATCCTCGAAACCAGCGCCGCCAGATATTACTACAACCTTCTTATGATTGACATCTGTCGATCTTATTTTATTAGACTTTGCCGAGTAACGATTCACTTTCGATCGTCCTATTGAGGAATTTGGTATTTCGTAACACATAATAAACCGTACGTGTCCTGTATGTCCATGATGCATACCTACGCAAAAGATATTCTCTCGTTATTAAATTTTTTCAAGACAATTTTTATTATATAATTTTTCTGGGTTTATTCGTTGATACGTTATAAAATATATACATGTAAGTTTATCTCAATAAAATTAAATTATTTCGTATATATTTTTTATCAATATTCAATACTCACCAGTTATTACTACTGGTTGCGATAATTTCTGAGTTGACGACTTTATGTGAGGAATTGGCAAGGTGAGCAGCACACCGGCGCTGGTGCCGATCCAAAGTAACTCGCCACAAACAATCAATGCAGTGACTTTGAGACAAGCGGCCTTGTGCTGTCGAATTATCTCATCACAGTCTGCAAATTTAACACTTCAATAGATCTTAGAATCATGATCAGAGGTTTATTTTAACGAGTTTAAATATAAAGATCGTATAATGTACTTTTATACGTTTTAATTTGAAAAAATAAGATAATGAAAAAAACTTTTTTTCAAGTTAATAGAGAAGTTCGAAATAGTATACATGTATTTATAAGTTCCTATATAAAGTTATATAAAATTTTAAAGTTTCTCCCCGTTCGTCTTCCTTAAATTAGAGAAATTAATTTGCGTGTCGAGCTCTAAAATGATTCAAACTTGTAATTTAAAATACAGAAAAAACAGAATTTAAAAGAATAAACTTACTAATAAGCATCTTATTTGCTGCTGGTACAATATTAATATCTAACAAACATTCATACGACATAGCGTGATACAGTTTTATCGTCCCACTGTTGTGTAAAGACAACCAGACATCGAAGTTTCCTGACGATGCCATATATAAAACTGCTCGATCAGGTTCATTACTTGCCGTAAATGTATATTGAATAACTAATGTGTAAATATTTAAAATTTTCACAGTGTTATTGCAGCCGCACCAAATCTTGTCTTTCACAGCTACCATTTTCATTACTGGTGCGCCAATGGACACCGTCGTCGGTTCTGTGTTCCATCCAGCTTGAACACAATAAAAATAAAATAAACCGGAATAACAAATGAAATTTTATCACACAAAAAAGCTATTTTACTATTGCTTGTAAAAAAAACAAGAAAAAAACCGGTTGTTAAGTATTGCAAAACTTACTTTGGTCACGTATAAATACGTAAATATTTCCATTTAATAAAGAAACAAAAACCTTGTTATCTGCATATCTAAAATTCAATGTTATATACATTAAAAAATATGTAGATTATAAAAACAAAACTATTCCTGTTCTTTTTCAAATTGTATGATAAATTTAACCAAATTAAAAATAAGTAACTTACACAATACACAAAACACTAGTATCATATTTTAATTTTACTCGAGCCTGTATTCGAATTACATTACTGTTGCACATATAGATACAACCGTCTTCAGTTCCTAACCACACCATAGGTTGATTTGCATCTTCGTCAGCTTCAATATTTGTACTGTCTAATTTTGAATAATGTGAGCGTGGAATTGATTCGTCCGAGTCTGAATTGTCGGAGCTCGAACTACCGCAGAATAAGTAACATTATATATGTACGTATATTTTAAATAGTTTTGTTATTTATATGCTAGAGAGTCGCAAATGTTGCGAGACAAATATTACCTGTCTAATAATATTTCATTGCTATTCGCACTTGTGTCCTGCATCACGTCATTCTTCTTTCTGAAGCACAAGTTTGAACTGAAAGAACATTTAAATTATCTGTCCATAGATTTATTTACTTTTTTTTTCGATTAGATATATTAAAGTTTTTTTGATTGAACAATATTAATGTCAAGTATTAATCTATTTTATTTCGTTAATTTTACCTAGGTGTATATGCAGGTATTCCAGCGATACAAAGTATTCTAGAATTGCTGATTCCATTGGATGAGATTACCTCCGGACTCACATAATATGCTGGATTTAGACCCAACACACATACATAACCGTCCTTATTATCGCTGTTACATACCCATACATTGCCTGTACCTTGCCAATTTGTTAGTGTGGATGCCGCGCAAGTGAATTCAAGACCCGCTCGCATTTTAATGTGTAGCGGTTCCATGAATTCAGGGCGTGGTCTTTTGTCAGTCAATAGGGCTATAAAACAAAAATAAAACTAGAGAGATTTAATTTATAAGAAATAAATTTAATTTTATAAATTTAATTTGTAAGAAATATGCAGAGGACAGAATTTATAGTGAATTGAAGATGTGAAGAGAAATCAATATATGTGTATAAAATTATATATTTAAAAGTATGTGATAAGATCATATTTATTCAACACTAATGAAATGTAATGTTTAATTTCTGAAAAAAAAAACAGAAATTTTATTTACACAAAATACCATTGCTCACCTAGCTTGTCTTTGGCTTCGTTAAAGCTTTTTTCCCAATTCATACATTTCGAAGGTGCATCAAACATGACGGTCAAAGTTTTAAACCCTTCTCTATAAAAACGAAAGATTTGCAACAACGATAAATCTCGTTACACACACTCGTAATTAAAACATTCAAAAATTTAAATGCAAGAATTTATATTTGCACCATTTTATAAAACTTGCATGTAACTTTGTGTGTTGTATGTTAATATATTAATTATTATTAGTTAGTTAATATATTAATTACTAATAGAAATACTCTAATATTAATTACTAATATAAAAATATTTCATTGTTAAACATATTTCTTATTGTCATTATTTTCTCTATATTTATTTAATTCTTATGAAATATGCTTACTCGGTGCAGAGTACTAGTTCTAGCGATGGTAACTGTGCCTGTGCAGTTTTCTCAGCCAGTAGTTGCTGAATTTGATTTAATGTATTTTTTATGACTTCTTCTAATTGTTGTTTAGGAGAATGTATGGTAGTGGTTATTTCTTGTAGTTGATTTAGTTTTTGACAATCTTCTCGTAATTGTTCCACTTCTTGTTTCAAATTTTCATCACTTACTGCAAATGAACATCAGAATAATCTCAAACTCAAAATAAGAAATAACTTATCAAATCAGTGTTTTTTTAATACCTTTTTTTACTTCGAGATCGTTTAGCAAAATCTGCATAATCATTTTATATTTTATATCTGTACGATATTGACTGTTCTGCAGACAAGTTCTGTAAAATTTTAGTTTTTGCGTTTATATTTTATTTTAAGAAGTTTACCACATGTTTATCGCTTATTTTCGTCTTTAGCACAAAAAAAAAAAAAAAACAAGTCCTGAGAACTTTATAATATATTATATATCGCAATTTTTTAATATTTTTTATGTCTTACATTACAATACTGCAGATATTACTGTGTAAAATATACTTACGGAGATGTTCTTCTTATTGGGCCGCTACTACGTTTGATACTTGCAATTACAAGAAGATCCGAAAATAAAAATAATGCCCGTTCTTTTCGCGTACTCGGGTGTGACGCTATAGTTACCAGATCTTGACGTAGAAACACTCTAAAAGAAAAGCCGAAACTGTGACAACATATTTGAAGTATATTTTCTGTCACATTGCTTTAGTACCATAAGACATTATTATGCTGAAAAATGGTTGAAAACTTTGAGTGTAAACATTCTTGAAACGTCCTAATATGTTAGGCATAACTATGTGTTAAACATAGTTTGGATTTTCGACTCGTTACTCTGATGTTTCCTCTCTTAATATTACTTAAGATATTATCTGTATTTTACGAACGACATGAAATTATAGAAAGAACTCGGTTCGTGTTACCTGTCAGTCGTTATTATGTTGGTAAGTCCTTGGACAAGGGTTTGTATCTCTTTTAATAGATTTTGTTGTTGTTCCCATTCAAATGATTTTCTCTCTCTACAATCTACTTTCACAACCAACTTGTGGATTTCTTTCTGAGCTGTTTGGAGCAACTGGAAATCCGGATGATTTTCCTCCGTATGTTTAAGCAATCTTTGAATTAGCATTTCGTATCGTGGAAGTCGCTGGATGGGTGCAATGAGTAAATTATCTAGTCCCAATTTTCCACTGTGTTCCTTTCTCATTTTCTAAGATAACAAAATATGATAATTTTACCTTGTAAAAGTGTATTATATATTATGATTTATTTCATATTGATTGAATTTGTCAGAGAAATTGATTTTAAAACAATTGATTTTTTAAGATTGCGAGCAGTATAAGTGATCATGATACTTGTGGTGTGTCACTTATAAGTGTAACAAGTCTAAAAAGTAATCTTTTCAAAATTACAGTTTGTAAAACAATTTATTTCGATTACACATTATTGTTTTTTTCTCTCTCTCTCTCTCTCTTAACTTTTTATATAAAACTCTTTTCTCCTTAAAATAACATTAATATAAATGTTATTTAATCAATTTAATCAAAATATAGTTTGCAAAACAAATTGAAAAATTGATCCATGTTTATCATAATGTTATAACCATCATTTGTAAGGAGAGAAAATGATGTAAGTAGACAAATGTACGTGCACATACCTCTAAAAAACGAGTGAAATGTGGCTCTGCTTGATATTTTCGGATTGTTTCTTTTGCAGTATTCCAATTATCCAAGAATTGACAATATATTTCCGAAACTTTCAAATTAGTAAACTACACAGAAAATCGCAGTATAATTGCATTTATATCTTTATATCTTTATATGTAATTATAATTTTTGTTAACATTAATTTTTACACATAATTCAAAAATTTCCTAGACCAGAATACTTTTTTAATACATAGACTTTTAATAAATATAAAATTATTAGATATGTAATTTAATTTGATGTTTTTTTTTACAAAATTCAAACTTTATCCACACAAAAATCACATATATTTAATATAGGTTTAATTATTATAATGAATTTGTTTTTTACACTTTCCTTTACATACACACACACACATATAATTTATGTATATTTATATGTGGTGAATATGTATGTTTGCGCAATTTTTGCATCAATATAAACTTACCACTTCAAGAAAAATGTCACCAACAGTTTGCGTGTGTCTTAATCCGTTAGTAAAACGGTTTTGTACTTTCTCCAGAAATTCTTCGTGTAATTCTAAAAGTTGTGGAATCTAAAATCCATAAATTCGTTTTTCTTCAATAACTCTAGTTTTAACCACGATTAAACACGAGACAGAGAGAGATATATAAAAATAATTGAGTTAATCGAAGATGGTGAAACTGGAATTAAAGGGAATAAAGTGCAGCTTCATTTATATTATGTACGATTACATAGATAATACTTACTTGAAAAAAAATTATGTCGACAATTTGATTATCTATTACATGTTCGTCTTCTTCTTTCAATCGTTTTATATATTTCTGAAATATATAAATCAGATATTATACTCACAATAGTTTTCACATAAAAAACTGATTAAGCTTTTTATATAAATTTTGACGTGTATTTGTATATTGTGTGAATCTCTTTTAGTTAATTGTGAAATATTTAATGCGAGCTCATATTGTAACTCAATTTCAATAATAATTGTTTACCTTAATATCTCTTAATCTTTATTCACGTTTATTTCCTGCATGTTTATCAAAGAGTAATTAGAAAAAATGTGTACGTTATGAATTATGAATATAAATTTAAGGTTTAATTTGAACATAAGGTTTTATAATTTTCAAGAAACTATAGAGTTTTCTACACTAAATAGAAAATATTCAGTATTTAAATCTATCTACTTTTCTTTTTATCTTCTATATACAAGAAGTTTAATATAAATAATCCAATATCTCCAACTTAATTTAAATAATAAAACGTACTTACTTGTAAAATCTGTAGAGTATTTACATAAGATGTTTCAGTGTGATAGAGTTCCAGAATAACTAATATGCGTTGATCCTGTAACATAGAAACAATTATTTTTAACAAAAGAGAGATTCTTAAAATTGAAATTGTAAATCTAATTGTATATCTTTCTTTTATCAATTTTTAAAGCAATAATTGTCCAATAATTTATATAAACACAATTTTATTTTGTGTATCTTTTATTTATATTTTCTTATCTATAGAATCAGTACTTACCACTCATTAGTATTATATATTTCGAGACATCCTGTATGTACCATATATAAATATATATCAAATCAAATCGCATATTTCAACAGATTCCTGAGATCATTTTGAGATAAGATTATCCAAATTTTTAATATTCCTAATATTTGTCATCGATAATGTGCGCAACAGTATATCCGACAAATGTATCGCGTACAATAATTCTTAAACTCAAATTTCAGTAGATACACTGTCAGCAACACATATTTTCGCTCGTGCTTTACTCGGTCCGGATGAGGGGCGCGCGCGCTTAACATATTTATACTATTATATATTCTCAACACGTATGCGCGTGCAGGCGCGAACGCATAGTCATACACAGATATTTAATTTATTTGTTATTATATAATATTATTATATAATATTAATATAATTACTATTACATATTTTGAATAGTAATATAACAATACATATATATAATACAGGATGTCTGAAATTTTTTAACAAAATTTAAAGACAGATGGGTTCAATCTGAACAGAAAGATCATGCACCATTATGCAAAATTTGCAATAGTGTGATTAACATCTTAAAAACTATTGCAAACTATTGCAAAGTTTGCAAAATAGTACATGGCACGGCTTACCGTAAAATACGCAATAAAATACGTAAGATGTAATATATTCTTACTAACAATGTTATTATATTGTTATAAATATTCTCTTTACATTTATATAAATATAATATACATTTTTCTTATATTTTTTAATAAAATTAATTACTTATTATATTAGAGACTAAGGATACAAAATGTGTCGAACAACGCATTGCAACATATTTTTCCGTCCCACTTTGCAGACTGCGGACTGTCGGATATAAATATTTATCCGGTGTGGTTAAAAAATATGATGCAAAGCACTTAAAAAGTGCACTACAGCATCACGATATTCACACCATTCACATGCATAAAACTAAATATATATATATATATGTTTGATATATGATATCAAATCCATCTGCTTACAAAGAAATTAATATACAAAGAAACTAAAATACAAGACTAACGGATTACCTTGAAATCACCGACAATCATTTCACCGACAATGTTTATTTACCGACACATTGAAATCACCGACAATGTTTTCATCAACAATGATTTCACCGACAATGTTTTCACCAACAATGATTTCACCGACAATATATATATATTTTCTATCGTTAAGGCAAACATGCATAAAGAATCAAGTAAGCATACAATAAATCTGGTCTGTGTTTTATGATAAAAAACATAATGCGAGATAAATTTAAGCAGTTTCTTTACATGTATAATTCCTTTACTGTGATTTTATTTTCTGCATTTATTTATTTATATACTAACAATAAATATCAACATCGCATAGTGGTATAAAAGAAAAAAAAACTCAACACATAGGATGCCATAGAGATGACTGCTTCTCTTTCTTCCTCTTCCCCTTTCTCTTTCTTTCTTTCTTTTTCTTTTTCTCCTTCTCCCCTCTCTCTTTCACACATACACACATATACGTTCACACATACACAGAGAAGGAAATAAAGTTGTTACGAGATTTGTTTGTAAAAAAGGAAGAACCTTATAACTTTTCTTCTACTATGAAATACATAAAGTATGTAGAAAAACCAAGATTTATTAAATAAATATAAACTACATGTATAAATAATTTTATACAAAGAGTATCCGTATAAAGTTTTTTTTCCGAAAGGATTAAGAATAGCAAGAAAATGTTTTTTACAAATTTTATGCTTTGTTAGAATCTCTTAACTGTCCGTCAGCGAATTCATTCTTTATTTTTCTTGCGCTATGATTGAGTTTTGCTATCAGATTTTTAAATAACAAACAGAATTGTCATCGATTTTTTAGGAAAATGTTAAAAGAAGCCTTTCTTCGTAGGTTTAAACAAATATATAAATTTAAACTAATATACAAATTTTAATATTTTTGGACAGATATCGTGTGACATAGCAAACAACGATTTAAAATATTCTTCTTGTATTTTTGACAAGAAGTTTGCATAATTGTTATCGCGCTTCTTATTGTTCATCTCAAGAATGTTAATCTTTTATTAAATGTAGAGCATTCTAGAGCTAACCACTTACCACAACGACACACAGCCCGACTGCTGGGGACGGAATATTATTTTCGTAGAAATATTGTACCGCATATAACAAAATTATTAGTTTGAGTTCTAATTATATAAAACTTAGTAAAAATTAAATTAAACAATTTTGTGTTGCTATATAAGATACGTACAGAAATATAAGTATACAACACCTGTTGTAAAAGTTAATCATTTCTGTTCGTATAAGAAATACGAGCCGAAAGAATTTATCAAACACATATGTGCATCCATAGTCCATGCTGACGATATTTGTTGGACACGTCAAGCACTGGCAGATAAATATTCTTTTCTGTTTAGCAAGATTAAAAAGAGATATAAACTACAAAAAGTTGTAATAACTTATAAACTTTTCATTATTGTTTCATATATTATAAAATTATTTGTAAGTAGGTTATATCATGCAAACTATATTACAAATTATATATATGTATATATATTTTATAATTTATTTATGTCTAAGTTATTAAGATATGCTAGAAAGACAATGCACAGAGATCTTTAATCATTCAATTTAGCTAGTGAGAAAAGTTTTTTTTTATCTGACAATGAGATGACTTCCACCGTTATATGGGTAAGGTAAAGATATTAATAATACGATAAAAAAAATTGTTATAAGGTCGATAAATTTTTCTAACTCCAATTTTATATTCACACTGACTTTGAACATTGAAGTTTTTTATGTGATAAGAAAATTAGATTTGTACACGCATATAAATGATTTTTAGTACATGACATGACAATTTTTTTACAAAACAAATAATTCTCGAGAAAAGACGATTGGACTGTTTGCGACAGAATAAAATGTAAACAACTGCACATTAAAATGACCAAACATCGCAAAACTGTAGACAGAGAAAAATGAATATAACCGCGTGTATATTTGCGTGTTTGTTTGATACTCTCTATCTAAGATAAATATCTCAGAAATGATCATGCACACACAAATAACTCAAAAGTTGAAAAAAAAAAGATATTAATAATAAATATACATATATTTTGACTTACACTTTCTTCTGCTGCATTTGTAGATCGTGTTAAAACTTCTTTAGACTTCCTTGCGTCGGGAATGGTCTGGTCTTGATTGGGTGTAGACTCTTCAAATTTAATATTCTGAAGAACTGAAGGACGTTCCATGTCGAGTGTGAGAGTAGCAGTATGCGATTGTGATATTTTGGTCTTTGATGTCTGTTTAGAAGATCCGCGGGAGATCTTTTTCTTGTACCTTGATTTGAAATTGGAAGACATAAATTTACGAAACTTTTTGAAAATGTTTGGAAAATGTTCTGTACTTACTTTTGCGAAACGTGAGCTTCGCAGTCAGAAAAGTCGCTCGATGTATGTGAATCTTCTTTGAGTTGCATATAGATGATGTGGATATTAAGAAAAAACTTGTAAATTTCATTTAATATACATACATACGTAAAAAGATATATTTATATTAGAAAATGTGAACTTGGAAAAAACTTGCAAATAATATAATATTATAAATATTAAAACTTTCTGTGGAAATAACTTAATATTTAAGAAAAACAGTATAGATTCTTTCTAGTATTTTTTTTTATAAGTGTTGGTCAGTTTTTCATTTATTTTTATTATTAAAAACAAATTTCTGTATCATGAGATCTAACCTTTTTGAGAGTCGACGGGTAGAACGACCGTTTCAATATTATCAACTGCAAACTCGTTCATCTCTGGAATGAAATATTTGCAAATATCGCTTGCATTTATTGTAGATTGTATTACAAGTGTGCTAACAGACCTTCGACGGAGCCGACGGGAGGTTTGTTGACGCTCATTTTCAACATTCTTGGATTTTGACAATTAAGACTATCAAACATCAACCCGCTTGGAGCGCGACGACGCGGCAAGGTGTTTGCTCGAATATGTTTAATCTCAGAACAATTGGATGTGTGCGCAACTGGTTGAGTTTTGTGTCGGTACGCTGATGGAAGATAAGCGATGAAAACAAAAAATCTTGATCAATCTTTTAAAACGACAAAAAAGAAATTCACCTTGATGCAAGTCCACCTGACAGAAGGACGTACTCCTATATCGCGTACTAGTTCTGCGAAGGGTAGGCAGCTCGCGCAACTCCGACATGCAGGATTCTCGAATTTCTCTGTCGCCACTAGTATCAACGTTATCGACGGCAGCCGATTGATTTGAACACATTTTGGTATTACACGTAGTAGTAGAACTAATCCCGTAATCGCTTTGTTGTCTCGAACATTTCGTTTTTGTCATACTAGCGTTCGACTCATGCTTTAGTTCGTCGACGTTATAACATCCCGACATATCTTTCATCTAAACGTTCATAACAAACGTTCAGAATAAACGTTTATTTTAATTTAAAATATTATTTGTGTACATTTCATATACACTTGTTTCATTAACTTGTCATGTATTTAATTTTTAACCTCTGTTTAATTGTTTTGTATTTAATTAAATGTTTATTCTTTACTTTAATTTGTGAAATATTATTGTGTTTATTTGGTAAATACAAAGGATTTAGATCTTGTCCGTTTGCATTTTTTTTCTAAAAGCCGATCGTGCATCACTTCCGATACAAAAAAAAAAACACTATATAGATAATTTTTTCCGTACAAACATTAGAGTCGTTATGATATTGGGATTCCTTACCTGCGGGTTATTTTGATACAATGGCAAGTGTCTGTTCAGTGAAAAAGAGAAAGTTTGTTTTTGTGACGATTCTTTGGATAGTGGAGCACGTACTGATCCTTTGAGTCTTTCAGTAAGCTCACGAAGTCGTTCCGTCTTTTCGCTACGAGAACCGGAATAGGACTTCTTGCTACTTCCGTCTTTATCTCCGTTCTTGCGCGGCGTGTGAAATTGGTCCTGCATCGCTCCTGGTTTCTTCAATGGCACACAAACAAGAATAAATTAAATCTCTCTCAGTTCTTATCTCTCAACTTGACGTCTAGATACGTATAAAAGAATCATCGCATGTAACCCCGTCTTAAAAGTAAGTTTTGTAAGAAATACTCTTTTCTCTCAACGCACAAAGTAAACGTCTATTTTCTCGCTTCTGACGTCATTACCTAAGATGAGTTGCGAGAGAACTATCGGCCTTAAAATTTCTTTCTTCTTAATGAGGAACTACTGACTGTGCTCATATAATTTTGTTTATAAAAATTCTTCCGTCAAAACGTATATAACATACGAGCATGTGTATACTACACCTGTGAGGTCCTTAGGCCGTATCTCGTGTCACCACGAACCACATATCCACCTGTCGCGTCTGCTCTCACAGCATATCGTCCTTTGAAATTATTCTCTTTTATTCGTTGAAGATCAGTATTCTTTTCGTTTTCGTTAGACATTTTTTATTTCATTCCGTCTCGCTGAAGTTCACGTAAAATAAAAATAGTCGTTAAGCATCAAGCTGGAGGATGCAACATGTGTATCAAATAACAAAATAGAAAGGATAAACAAAAACTTTTCTGCGTTACGTCGCATGCATAAAGTAATTTATGCAGTCCGAGCAATGTTCTCTAGAGCGTCCTGCACACACCACGACCATCTAACTAGATTCGTCCTATGGAATAGTAATAATCTTATTTTGAATATAATATATATATGCAAATATATATGGAAAATGTTGCTGTAAATATTCGTACGAATGTACATATCTTCATAAATGTAACTGACTTCTTTTTGTTTAAGTCGTATCTTACCGTCGCGACGAATGGAAATTTGCGAGCTGTTTTTTTGACGCAAAAAGCCGAGTTGTGTGAAGATTAATCCTTTCATCACTGAGAAATGTATAATAAAAATATTACCATTTGTGCTTATGTATGTACGCGTGTGAGTAGGTGGGTGGGTAGGTGGTTTGCTAATTCATATCTCAAGAGAACAAAAAATTTTATACATTTTACTCTTTCGAGAGGTCGGAAAATGCTGCGTGAAAATATTCACTTCCAATGTAGAATTTTGCTCTTTGTGGAATCTTGAAAACCTATGTAAAACTATATTTATAAGATACGTTAAACGTTCGTTTGTTAAGATGCAAGTTTATGATCTTAGGTACGTACATTTTAAATGTGGAGTGCAAATTATATGTATTTCAACGCATGCGCATGCGATCACAGCGCATGCTCACGTCGCCACACAATCTGTCGGGATGACAGATTTCCTAACCTGAATGGTCGGCAACTTTAACGCTTAATAACTCGATTTGCGACACAAACCGACACTTTTTCTTGTCAAATTACTTCGTTTTATGCGCAATCGCGTCAAATGAGCATAAGTTTATCGATATTTGAAGTCGAGTAGTTACTCTAGTCACCCACTTTGATCAGTGGTGATATCAATAACAACGGATTGATGAACAGCACGCGTCGCGAAGAGCGATTTGTAAAATTGTCAATCGTTAGACTCACTCAATGTGAGTACAAATACACATTTGTGAGTAATCGAGACATAAGAGTGGATATATACCTGCGAAGAACGAAATTAACTGATCGCATTTGGATCGGTCAAATAGATTTGCCAATCGATCTATCAATTGGTTAATTTTGCATTTGTGTTGTTTGTTCGTAAGTAATACCTACGTAAGTACATACCTACCTTTAAAGGTCGCGCAGTCTTACAAGCACAAGTCTCTCTCTTTTTCTCTCTCTATATATATGTATACATATGTGTATATATATATATATATCAGATAAAGAGAATCGACATTACAATAATGACGACGATATGACACGCGATCGCGTTTGCACTTATAACTTCACTTTGCGAACGTACGACTGTGGATCGACAATTGGCCGTCCAGCTGAGCATAACGACAAAGCTGGACTAATTTGATAGGAGAAGTCATAGCGTGTATTGTATTTAAAAGCATACAAGAGACACTCCACGAATGGAACTCCACGGATTGGCACGCGAGAGAGAGGACTGTCAAGGTCTGATCTAAGCGAGGGGATTTCTTTTTATATTCAGTTCGCGTTAACGCACGAACTGTTTTTCAGCAACGTACACAAATGACACAGTGTGACCACAGTGGTAGTAACTCCCAATTTTTACGTGCCGCAAATATACGCATGCGCGTCCATGGATATCCTGACCAATGGACATTTTCTGTTTCATTTTCTCTAAACTATTTTCATTGCCATTTAAATGTTCATATGACGTTTACCTGTGGCGGTAAAAGATCTTACGTTTATAATTCTATCTGGCTGAAACGGAACTTCGCAGAAAACGACGTTCTTTGGCCAAATTTATGAAAAATTTGAAGATCACAAGATAATATTTATAATCAAGTTCATTTTCATATGTACAGAATGTTTTCTTTGATAAATGATCAAAATAAAATATTTGCGAGACACTGCGAGTCGAGTGTGTTACATTAAGAAAATTTATTTTCATCAATCAAACATTTTTAAGAACTAAATTGAAAAATCCAGCTCTCTCTGTACGTAGATATAATGTTGTATAGACTAAATTTAAAAAAGTACACGAAAATAATTAATTCTTTGATAACATCGCAAAATCAAATAGTGCAGATGTACCTAAAGTGCAGCTAACCGCAGAAAGAGTAAAAAGGATAAATTGTGCGATCCTTCTCTCTTGTAACAACCAACTCGTCGCTCCAGCGAACCTTTAAGTTAGTCAGAGATGGTGAAATGGCCGTAATATTGTTGTGAGTTAATGAAAAGCAATCATGCCGACGAAGATATTTGTCGTGAGAAATAAAAAAACACACTTTTGCCCAAAACATTGCACTATCTTAATACCACGTTTTGCTTTTAGAAATTAAACAATCTATATCCGTACGTGTGTTTGTATACACGTTTATACACATATACATATATATTATACACAAGTACCTCTGTCCACAAGAGGAAGAGATGGCACGGTTATTATCAGACACCCTATATACGTATATATATATATACATATATATCATATATATATATATATGCTGTAAACGCGCAAGATGGGGTTGAAAACTACGCAGTGGCGCCATCGTGTACTCGATAGATGGTTTCGGAAGGGGCAAAGCGGGGTGTCACTGACGTCATGCTCGGCAATGTCCGCTGCTACTCGAGTGACCCGATCTCGCCTGAACAGGTCAATGTCTGAGAAGGAGGTATCGAAAAATCCAATGGTCGGTGTGGTGTTGCCGTGCTACTGCTTGACGACGATGAAACAGAGAAGTCGTCGCTGATCGCCGAATATCGTTCCCTACTGTCATCGCCGTGTGATTCGTGCGTCCGCGTCACTTTTCCGAGTCCGTCGTGTCGTCGCGATATCGAAGAGGCTGCCGTGAGAGCTGCTCGATCTGTTCGCGACAAACGACAGTGAGGTAGAAAGCGCGAGAGAGAGAGAGAAAGAGAGAGAGGGAAAAAACGGTTGAACACGGGCGTTGAACACAACAACTACAAGAACGGTGGCGACGGCGACGGCAAACCTCTTGTTGAGAAAAAGAACGCAGTATTCACTCTTTTTTTTAATTCATATTGCCCGGCACACATACATACACATATAGAGAGAAAGAGAGAGAGACACACACACACACACACACAACACACATACATAAGAAATGCACTAGGCACGGAAGTCTTATGACGAAGACATAACTCTAGAATTGAAGTATAGGAATAACACTCGATAGCGAGAAAGACATGTAGAAAGACAGTAAGGAGGAAAAAGAAACGAAGTGTGAGAAGACATCAAGAAAACGAAGATAGCTGCGAGAGGGAGGGAGAGAGAGAGAGAGTGGGAGCGACGTAGTCGTGGAAGTAAGAATCCACGGAGCTGCGCGACGCCATGTATCGTTAACAGAGCACCGCATGGTGGCGCGCCGCGATCGTAATACGTTGTGTCGGCCAACGATGACGACGGCGACGGCGACGACGACGACGACGACAACGGCAACGACGACGACGAAGAAACCCGAGCCACGGTACTGCTAGGAAGTGCATATATAGATAGCCGTATTGTACAAACTGTCTGAAAAACATCGGTCAGTTGCTGCCAACGTTGGCACGTACCCTTGGTCGCTTACTAGCACGTTTACTCGGTCACTCTGCTGCAGAATCCCTTCCTCTCCTCTGCTGCAGCTTTATTGGCTGATAGAACATCGCTTGAAACTCGCTCGCGGCCGCCGCATCGCCGTGACAGCAGCGCGAGGAAAAAGGTAAATCATCATTGCCGAGAGAGTGCGCGTCAGTGTATCGAAAAAGAGGGTGGTGTCGCGTTAACGACTATCGAAGAGTGTGAGAAAAAGTTGGTGTGACCAATAGAGTGCAAATCGACCAAAAATATTCGTCGTACTCCTTTACGTACCTTGTCAAATAAAAGAGGAGAAATTCGCTTCTGAACAGTGCTCGCGGTTTTACTTTTTACGACCTTTTTCCACCACCCCCTCCCCTTCTCTCTTCTCCACTCTTGTCCCTCTTCACTTTTCTCGCTTGCTCTTTTTATCTGTAGAACGTGTGTTGTGTGGCATAACGCGAAATAGAAATCACGAGTAGTAGTGAAGAAAGTGAAAAAGAAAAGTGCGCGTGAGCGCGCACTCGCGTGCAATGTGATAGTCGTGTCTGTCATTGATGTACGAGGTGGTGTTGATAACGAAAACGACGCCGACGACGACGACGACTAATACCGAGGCTAACTTCAGGACGAGGCGAAGAAGGAAGAAGAGCTGCCGGAAGTACCGGCCTACCTAATCCTAATTCTAACCTATCGAACGCAGAAGAAGAAAAAGAAAAAGGCGGAAGAGAGTTCTAGTCTTTCTTGAGTGGTGGAGTGGAGGTGGTGAAGGTGTGGAGGCGGAGGTGGAGGCGGTCGAGACAGCTTCAGAATGAGCGGACGACCGAGAACCACCTCCTTCGCCGAGGGTAACAAACCACCCGCAAACCCACCCCTTGGTGGCATGAAGATCAGTAGTAAGTACCATAACCTCTTGTTCGCTATAGGCTTTTCTCTCTTTATCTCTCCTTTCTTGTGTATGCTCTGTCTTTCTCCCCCTTCCTCTCTCTCTCTCTTCCTCTGTCTCTCTTTTTCTCTCTCTCTCTCTTTCTCCTCTCTACCTCTTTCCCTCTCTCTCTTTCTCTCACTCCTGCTCCATCTACCAAATGTAGAGTAACGCGTCTGCGTCAAGTACTCAGATGCTCTCAGGAAAAAGAAGCGAAATAGAAGGGAAAAAGAATTTTTTTATTAAGTCACTTGTGTAATGATCGATTTTACACTTTTACGTTGCGTAATTTTTTCTGTTTTGACAACAATCAATACAAAATTTCTATTGAAAATAAATTTGAATCTTTATAAGGATAAGGGTGGAGCCGACATAGTATACGTGTTTGTGTAGTATCTTTAAATTATGTATCTGGTTTCTAAACTGTATTAACAAAGAAAGAGATTAAGTTTTAGAAAAACTGCAAAACTGTGAAGTAAGTTCTGTCTTTTTGTATTATTTTGTATTATTGTAAGCAATAGCGCGTGTGTGAAAAAATTAAAAAACCCTATTTTTTTTGTTTTTTTTTTGTTTTTTTTTGCTTTTTTATTATTTGTCCTACGAAGTAATATAACATATCACAAATTGGAAACAGTATCTTTAATAATTTCGTAATATTTGATGTGTTGCGCAAGTATTGTTTCTCAAGTCTCTTGTGACATCCAAAATATTTTTCTTTAGAACACTTAAAATGATTATTCATTGCATAATTTTGATTTTGTGTGCAAATATACTAAACCAATTTTTTATACAAAAGTGAATTGAGATGTTTTCTGATATAAATTTTGCCATGCAAAGTGAAAATATATATTCAGTAAAACCAAAATCTAGTAAACGGTAAAAGCATTTATGACGACCTTCGTACTATTAAGTTACAGATGTAATTATTTTTGTGGCGATTATTTTCATCACTTGTTTTTCGCGCCAACGCAATTTAATGACGACAACTGCACTGAGATATCTTCCTTTTCTCCTCTCTCTCTCTCTCTCTCTTGCTTGCTCGCTCGCTCTCTCTTTTTCTGTGACGCTAAATGCTATATGTAAAATTTTTACTATAGATGCACTATATTTTTGGCACACGCTTGAGTTACATTCATCCTAATGCACGTCAATCCATATATTACACTATTTGCAATATAACGCTATAGTGCGCTATATGCAATAAAAAAAAGATATTAATGCGTGCTAATGCAATCACAAGATCTTTACTCGACAGAAATAAACAATAGCTTCAAAATGATTCCTTAAAAATGTTTTTACATGTAAATAATATTATTATAATTATTATATGTTTAATAGTTATATTATTGTTATTATTGTTCAGTTAATGTTAAACTTTAAAAAAATATTAGAGTCGTACATTTAAAATTTATAAAATATGAAAATATATTTAAATTATATAAAAATGACATTTCGTATGTAAAAATGCAAATATAAGTAAAGTTCTTAGAATTGTAAATGTAAAAGTGTAAAAAACAAAAAGAGGGCAGCGATTTATTGATCTGTAAATAAAAAAATAAAAAAATACACAAATAATTAACCACGGAAACGCCAGGACATTTTCATCCTTTGATTTTATTTTTTTACTCACATTTGCCAGCTTGACTTATTGTTCACTTTGATCTTTTTATACTTTTGCACTCCGTACGTATTTTTTATCACTTATTTGTTAAAGTACGAACTTTAATTAACGTCAATTATCTACTTAACCATGTTTACTTGGTGGACAAAAAATAGTTAATAAATATTTAAATGATAATGTGATTATCATACTGATACGCTGTACATGTGAGAATCACAGCAAATAATCATATATTGTGAGAAAAACGATAATTATCTTAAATATTTCTTACGATGTGTGACATGCACATATAATATTTGCGCATAAAAGTAACAAACTTCGATAAAAGTAAAACAAACATGTCCGCAAACGACAAATTGCAAATAATAATATTAAAGTAAATTATTCTAGATCGAAGCGTTCAGCATTGAGAACGTTTCTGTCAATAAAAATAGTGATATAAGTAGGTAATGCAATCACTCTGTCATCTTTGGCGGTAGCACGACCTGCGCACGACGTCCTTCCGGTGCGATTATGTGATCCGTTCGTGATCGCGTATAAGTAAGCGTTCTAACATTATATCAGATGTTTCGAAATAATATGTCGTTAACAACAATTATTAATTGTGTAAGCAATAGCGCGCAAAGTGTATGAAAATTAAAAATGTTTTTTTGTTTTTTTATTATTTGTTTCTACGAAATAATATAACAAATACCGTAAATAGCGATATTGGAAACAGTATCTTTAATTAATTATAAAAACTATACCGGCAAGATTGCACAATGCTGCTTTTTTTTTAGCGACAAATTGGTCTGTTTTCGACATATTTTGTTATCAGAGTGTTACACGCGCGCGCGCGCGCACATACACACATGTATATTATGATTGATCGAACTTTTTATCGATCTTTGAAGGTTGAAGGGTTCCAAACGCCCTCGCAATCGTTTCACTGTAAAAAGATTTGATCACGTTACCGATTCATATGTCGGAGATCTAGGTCATTATGTTTTTACAATGTAAACTATTCACGAAAGAAATAACACGTCTCGTACGCGTTACTTTCTCAACGAATTTCTAGTGTAAAAGTTTAAACATTTTTATTTCTTACACGCGTGCTCTCTTTAGTGACAAATTGTGCTTGTTTTCTTGGACAAAAAGAAAACATTTGCGATCTCAAATATCGATTGATCTAATTTATAAATAATCGCGAGTGATGGCTGACCAAGTAATTGCGTATTGACGCGGTTGCCAAGCGAAACGCGGAGACGACCTCTTCGATTGTGCGGAGGATCGATTATCCTCGCAACGGTATAACGGCGGGCCATTTTGACCCGAATCAGTTTCATTCCGTAGCATGATAATGGTCTAAGAATTAAAACATTTTTATATATTTATACATGTTTGTTTCAATTTCTTTTGTAACTTCGATTCTTATCCGAATGATCGAACTATATCAGTTAATATTGAAAGTAGCAATTTCTGCTGCTTTGCTCCATTAAGCAAATATGCAGTAAATTATTTTAAAAAAGAGAATGTTTTAGAAATCAATTTTTTTATATTTTAAGATTTATTTTAACAATTAGAGTAATTAGACAGTTATAAAAAATATAGTGCGAATACATGTATATATATATGTGTGTGTGTATATATATATATATATGTATAATATTGATTTATTTTATTAACTCCTAGTATTTTATTAACTCCTATTGTCTGCATATTTTTAAATCATGCACAAAAAACTTACGTTCTGCAATCAGATAACAAATTGTTAATACTTTATTAATATATATATGTGTTACAAAGTATTTAAATGATTTAAATATACATATATAAAGTTTATATTAAATGTCCGAAATTTTGTTTCAAATCAAACTCGGTTTAAAATAAACTTAAAAGCGATCAAGCTTGATAATTCCGGCTGCTTTCAAAGACACTCTCATCTGCTTGGTTATTGATTATTCAAGGTCGCTATGTTAAATTCGAGCGCACCATATATTCTAAGTGGAGCTTTTGACGCTCGTTAACGAACTTCAGTTTGTAATGATGACTTTTCATTATGTGATTTTCACTCCTTCTTTTAAAGAGAAATATTTGTAAACACACTAAGAATATACATGTCTGTACTCTTATATTTATAAAATTGATTTAACCGTTTGCCGGCAATGTGTAATAGCACGTCAGCAATTTAGGTTTTTGAGATTTAATGCAAATTTTGATGTGATCTGTTCCGGACTGTATAAAAGTAAAAAAAATTCTCTTGTGTGTCACACAAATACTATACGTGCGATAATGAGCTAGCGTTTGACATTTGTTCTTCTGAAAAATGAAACAACAATAATATCACTATCGTTATCTACATGTCGTTTCGGATACCCCTATCAATTGCTCATATTTATATTGTTTTTTTAAACTAAAAATTTAAGTTTTTTTCTAAAACCCGCACTCTAATAAATATTTTATAAAACTTGAAATATAAAATATAACCTGAACTATGTTAAAATAGTTGGTTAAAAATTATATTGTTCTAAGCATGTAATAAAAATACTTAAAAAAATATTTGAATATAAGTAAATACATTATTAAAACAAACAAAATAAATAAATATCAAATACAAATCAATAAGTAATTTTCTTGAATAACATTTTTTCTTTAAAATAGGTTTTTTTTCAGTGTCCAACTCCAAATAGCCATAACAAAAAGAAACGAAAAGAAACAATTGTTTAATCGATTACCAATAAGAAAATAACGATTCTTAAAGGAAGAAGAAAGATAGTCTAATTATTATTTTAATCTTCTGTAATTTGCTTCGCTATATTTTGTTTTATAGATATAATAAACAAAGAAACGTATATATTTATACTACAATACAAACAATTAAAATATTAAACTACTAACTTTTCTTTTTCAAACACTTGTCTGTTAAGTTACTAAAGTTGTCAAGCTCTTAGCTAAAGAATTCCAAGGTTGTCAATTGTTACATCTTATTGTTTTATATATTGTTTATTATTATCAATAAATCGCGTTGAAGCTTTCTAAATCTTTTTTAATATAATATTTGGATATTTATGTTTGGATATTTTTATTATAAACATTTATATTAATTGATAATATTTACTATGTAAGTATCATGTTACAATTTTTAATCTGTAAGTGCAATACTTTCAGAATTACACAAAGACAAAAAAAGTGATCTACTGTCTTCTCTATTAGAAAAAAGAAACAAATAATTTAGTAAAAATTCTAAGTAAAATTTTAATTCAATTATACTGAAATATTTACTGAATTAAATCTGATATTTTGATATTGACAAGATGTGATATTTGCATTTCTTGTTATATTATTTATATCTTGTATATTTTTAAGATTGG